GACACATGTTTTATGGCTTATTTTTCACGCCGAATCCGATGGTAATGGCTATAACTTATATGTGACCCTAAGTCACTGTGCTGGTGATAAGTGTGCATTGAAAGCATACAAAAAATCGTTTAACCATACATTAAACGAGGGCTAAGAAAAAAGTCAATTTTTCAACTTTTTATTTTTGACATAAAAATGCACTTTTCTAGACGAGCTTTGTCCCAGGAATCTAGTGGTGCCATTTGTTTTCACATACAATGTTCAGAAGTGCCTCTAATTCACGAAAATGCTTATGACGTCACCATGCCCTATGCTTGTTGGAGCTATTTTTTACAATTTTGGGGTCATAAATCAAGATAGAAAGTTGAAATTTGGGACATCTAATGTTCTAATAGAGCTCTATAACATAATTCCGTTTTTTTGAAATTCTCAAAATTTTGTATTTTATTAGCTGTTTTCCAAAAAAATATAATTCTTTGAATTTTAGGGGTTAAAAACGCATTTTATTGAAAATCCGAGATAGCCATTTTAAACAACTCGTTGAGTTGCGTCTATTCATGTGTTTAATTTGCAATTTGCTTTAAACCCTGATTTTTGGCGATTTTTTAAACATTTACCACTTTTTGACTGAAAACGCCATGTAGTTACATCACTAAAATCGATATATCTAAAAAAAAAATTGGAATAATTTTCTTTACAATTACACAGGGGACGTCAAATTGATGGGGGTGAAGATATGCCAAGTTTCAAGTTGATAGCGTAAGCGATTCATGAGTTATTCAAGAAAAACGGAGGGGGGTCGGATCCGACCCCCCCAGGCGGTCGCGGGTTAAGCCGTGGTGCAAATGAATGTTATGTCAATCTATAATTAATACATAATTTTGTTTGCCTGTTCTTGTGACATTTGTAGGGGAGAGTGGGGTAAGATGCCCAGGGTGGGAAAGACGCCCCACCCCCTCTAGCGGCGAAACAAAGAATCGAACCTGGAAATTAATGTTCTTAGCGTAAAGCAGAAGCTTGCCTTGTTAACTGCACAAAAATTTGCCAAGCTCAGTTGGGCAACGGCTGGCTGCTGATTGCATGTTTTTTATTTGCTGCTTTCAAAAAATATTTTGGTGTCAAAACATTGTAAATATCAAAGAAGGTAGATAATTTTTGCGTCCCTTGCTATAGTCGTGATACATTAACATGCGTGTACTGTGTTCCAAACAGTTTGTTTCAGGGTGTAGTTTTATGGCTAACAAATTGTACTGATTTAATGTTACTTCGGTACCTTGGGGTAAGATGCCCCCTGTCCTGATGGGGAAAGACGCCCCCCTAAATCCGTAGGCTGTCCTTCAAGCAGCCCGTCAAATCATTTATTACATACTTGGGATGAGAGTCAAAAGCTGATCTGGGACTATTGAGAGTCCAGTACGGTCGGGTGCTCCCCATGCCGGTCTCTCGGCCCACATAGCGACTTTTTGGGCGGCATCTGACTCTGAGAGCCCTCACGACGGCCTCTGTGGGCCCCATTATTGGCTCCATGGCCACTCACGACATCCTTTGAGGGCTCCCACGTTGGTCCCACGGGCCGCGCTGGCATCGGAGGTCCCCACGATGGGCTGGAGGGCTCTCAAGCATCATGAAGACCTATAAGAGCCCCACAGTGGTCTCCGAACGCCACCACAGAGGCTTGTTTGGCCGCGCTAGACTATGATGGCCCTAACGATGGCCTCTGAAGCCCCTTACGACTACTTTTGAGGGCCCTTATGATGACGTTTGGTGTCTCCTGCAGGCTCGAAGGGACTACTGATTCGTTCAGGCGATTCACGTGCCCATTTATGTCACTTATAGTGCAGGGGGCATCTTTCCCAACGTAAGGGGGCGTCTTTCCCACCCTGTGGGGTAAGATGCCCCCTTTCACTTCTTCAGGGAAATGCTTAATAGCAAAAAAAGTTATCATATTTCAGGCACGAAATCGTGATATTTGTGGAGAAAAATGATGTCGACCTCCGTTGAAACTCCAAGTTTTTGCTTTCCGATCGTCATTTTCGAATAATATATGTCAAAGTAAAACCCTGGGCATCTTTCCCCACTCTCCCCTATCATATCGTTGAATTAAGATAAAAGTTAGAAAGTGTAGTTGTAAAAAGATGGTGGTATAAAAAAAAAACATTTTGTTTATTTGTTATGCAAAACTCAGTTAAGCGTGCATTATTTAAATGTCGAACACGATGCGAAGCCCTCATTAGTTTGCTAAAGTAAATCATGTTATATTTATCTTCAACAAAGTTCGCCTGGTATTGGTTTTCTTTATATGCGCTGGCCGAGGAGGGGGGGGGGGGGGGGTACGAGTTACGACCCCCGCCCTCGCTGTTTCGCCCCTGATGGAGCTAGATCGTCGTGGACAAAAACAAGCGTGTGCGCCTTTACACGAGACACAACGACTGGTACTCGAACTTAGGGTTTCAGGTCAATCGGTGACTTTTAAGGTCAGGTCAAGTGACCCAAGGCACGGGTTCATCTTTTCCTAAATAACTTCGCAAAAACGGTTGCAGAGCCGCGATTTTAGCATCATCATGCTCACCTCGCTCAGGCGCGTCGAATGATTTTTTTCGGTTGAGGTCAACTTGAGGTGTTGACCTCGGGTCAAGGTCAGGTCAGCATTTTGGGTCCCCCCGGTCCCCCCGTCACGAAGCTGGTCGAATGAGGTTATTTCGCATATCATTCGATCCGGCAGGTCTTCTCGAGTCCATTGGTGGCTTTCCCGACTCGCTAGCTCAATTTGATCGGGAGTTATTGACGAAAAACGTATGACACGCGCGAGTCTATTTCCTATCCCTCAAGGTCAGCGGAGATCTTTCCGTTGCGTTTGGGCCCAAGTCGCCCACAGACAATCATGGTAAATCGAGTGCAGTTTTGAAATTCGTATCCGGGTTGTCTGCATGGTTCTTGCTGGAGAGCTACAGCAGTTTTTGGACGGATGGGCCATTCGGTCCTGGTATATAAGGGTCACCCATTGCAGGTGAGCGTGTTCCTGAGGTAATTAACCCGGCGGCCGCTGGGCCTCCGCGCCACCCGCCGGCCGCTGGGGGGCATATAGTTGCCCCCTTTACTTCTGCTACGATATCGTCGCAACGCGAAGAGATAGAGAAGCGAAACTTTGCACACATCTTCCTGAATACCTAGCCGAGGTTGTATCCAAATTTGGTGTTGATCCCGTATGAAATGACGTCACAGTGACGTCATAAGTGAAATTATAGATTTGTGACTCTCATATTCCTCACGATACATCAGATATATGGGACCGAATATAAAGGGCCGATTATTGGTCAAAGACTAGATGGAAGTGTAGTTAGATGTTTTAGGATGACACCAGGTGCTGTCTAGTTCATTTACAGTTGAGTTTTATGCTCAGCGTCATCAGAAACGGTCCATATCGGAAAACGACAAAACTTTATGACGTCACTGTGACGTCATCTTAGGTGCTACAATCACCAAACTTCCCTCAAACATTGCCTAGGTATTCATTTGAAGCTATGCTAAGTTTCACATTCGTAGCTCATCAGGTTTCGGAGATATTTCACAAAACGTAAAGGGGGCAACTTTATGCCCCCCGGCGGCTCGTGGGTTTTTAACCCGCGCCCCACTGGGGGGGGGGGTATTCATAGGCCCCCCTCCCGTTTTTCTGCAATAACTTTTAAACCGCTTGACGTATCGCCGCCAAACTTTCAGTACCTTCGGCTGCATCAATTTGACACCTTGTGTCAAAACCTTAACTTCGTATCTATCATAGGTCGGCCGGAAATGACGTCAGAGTGACGTCATGTTCGGCCGATTTCGACGCAAAACATTGAACCACGGGAATCGCTCCCAAGAGCTCAGTTTTTTAGCTAGATCCAATTTCTTTGCATGAAAGGACTCAGAATAGACTGCGCTATCAAACTGCTATCTCGAATTTTCAAAATTTTGAAAATTTCGAAAATTATATATTGAAATTCAAAATTTGTATTTTATCTTTTTTCCAACACTTTTTGACTTTTCGTAAAAACCGGAACATATACCTATGATAGAACACATGCTTATGACTTAATCTAGCAAGTTTTAGCCAGATATCTTAAAAAATGGCCATGTTATACGCATTATACCAAAAATTTCACAATTTTAAATTTTTCATATCAGTTTGTATGTACGAGTTTGACATCGTACACCAATATGAAAAGCACCATCGTGTTCCTTTAGCTCCAACGGCATCCGATATAGGCATGCTAACTGTTGAAAAATTTCAACTTTGAAATTTGACCTTTTTTGACCTGAAAGTGACCTGACTTCAGCTATATTCAGATGAAAATGGCCTCAAACGACGCAGGCCACACCGAATTCGATGTCTATGGCCCAAATGGACCATAAAACATGTGTCACGTGACCGACTTATGACATAAGATATCCGTGAACTATGATGACCTGACCCTGACCTGAAAATCAAAGTACAAGTTTGGTACCCTCAGGGTATCTAAGGCATCTGGTCACGAGTGTGTAAACAAAACATCAGCCTGATCTGACTTGTAAGACGGCAGCCAGAGCCCAAAATGTGAACAAGCCAAATATCGATAATTTTTACTTTGACCTGACCTGTGACGTCATCGGTGACCTCGAGGTCAATGAAATTAGGTTTCGCTCGACAGTGTTTTTCCGGGGCTATCAGATGCCGTTTGAATTTTGACGATTGGTCCAGTAGTTTCGGAGTTAGTAGGGGGGCTATGAATAGCCCCCCCCCCCCCAAGTAGGGCGTGTTATACACAGACCCCAGTGGGGCGCGGGTTAACTCGAAAAAATTACCGCCGATATGAAAACATATATGCTTAGGGAAAACATATAGGTTGGGCTGGCTAATATTACTATTCACCTCGGTGTATTTTTTCGCCTGGATGGCGAATTTCGGGGACGACTTAAGGTAACATATTCGGGCAGCCGGCGATTTTTCTGTTCGTAAAACTGCCGCCTCTGAATTGTTAAACTTCTTTAGAAATGCTACTGGTGATTGTATATTTATGGGCACACTTACACAATAAACAATGACTGACATATTGGCAAGACACCAATAAAAGCCAATCACGATAAACATAAATACATTAACAACGACGTTTGTGACAATGATACGACAAATCAGCAATTCCTTACAAGAGTGGACACAAGTTGACTTAGTTGCCGGCAAGTGGATATCTCGGTGAGCCTGTCTTTAATAGTCATCTCGCTCTGGCTCCAAGTCCCGGTCGCCCAATCCTGCCGTGATTTTTCGATGACGCTTAGTTGTAGGCAGGCTGGGGCTCGACGTAGGCCGGCTGGTAGGCGGGCTGGGGCTTGCCGTAGGTGGGCTGGGGCTCGACGTAGGCGGGCTGGGGCTCGACGTAGGCGGGCTGGGACTCGACGTAGGCCGACTGGGGCTCGACGTAGGCGGAGTCAACAGCAGGGGTCGGATACTGGGTGGGCACCGGCGTCGGCAGGATGTCGCTAGACGGCTGGTAGCCGTTGTCGTCGGCGACAAAGGTCACCTTGACGGGGTTGCCGTATCCGTCGGTGTAGCTCCAGGAGCCCTCCTGGCGGTAGCTGCCCTCCGGCTGGCCGTAGGCGTTCTTGCCGTAGCCGGGCAGGGGAACACCACTCTCAGACCTGAGAATGAGTTTAAAGCGTTAATAGCTAATTTTTCTGGCAGAAAGTTGGCATAGCAAGATCTGTTCGTCACCTTGATCGCAAATGTCATGCAAAGTTTTTGAAGGTTAAATGATTAGATAAATAAATCCAGACTTTGCACGATACTTTAAGTTTTTAATATCAAAAAGGCAAGATCGCAAAGCTACCTAAACTATATGCATGCAATTGCAGTACTTTGCTACCCTAAATTTGCCAAATGTAACATGTATTACCTGTAGATGCCGTTCTCGGTGCTGAAGTGGAAGTTGTAGGAGCCATCTCCGGGGTGGACGTTCTCCTCCTCAAGGATAGCGATCGGCTTGTAGCTCGGCTGGGCTTTGTAAGAGGAGGCCGGAGCGTAGGCGGGGGCAGAGTAGGTCGGGGCAACGTAGGTAGGGGCAGCGTACGTCGGGGCAGGAGCGGCGTACGTCGGGGCAGGAGGGGCATAGGTAGGAGCGGCGTACGTCGGAGCAGGAGGGGTATAGGTGGGAGCAGCGTAGGTCGGGGCAGGAGGGGCGTACGTAGGCCCAGACCTGTAAGTGGGGGCCTGGGCGTAGGTCGGCCGGGGCCTGTAGGCAGGTGCCGGCGCGTAGCGAGTCTGGGGCTGGTCGGCGGCAGCCACCAGGGCCAGGGCGGCAATCACAAACTGAAACACAGGAAACGGTCCGTTAATCCAACGACAGTTTATAAAGCTATTTTGCTGAAGTCCACGTTTGACATAGGTATAATATGTTTCCACAGTAGCTTCATCCGGGGCGATCTGCCAGCACTACTTACGGCCTTCATGTTGATGTGACTGGGTGCAGTGTCGAACTGATACCTGGGTCGGTTTGCTCGTCCATTATATAGTCGGGTCTTTGACAATGGCGCCCCCGGGCTGGTCAGTCCTCTGCTGACCACACCCGTCACCAGGGAGCTCCCCGGCCGGTAGGACCGCCCAGACGTCTGCCGCAATACCGACCCGCCCCGCCCTCCCGGCCACTCCCCGTCCTCCCGGCCCCTCCCCGTCCTACGGCCACTGCTGACCGGTCCAGCCGGTCACTGCACAACGGTGGATCACAATTGATCTGGCCTTGATCTTCGGCTGAGGCTACGCCCGAGGAACGGTTCCTTATGCGTGAAGGAGTGGCGTGTTGTCGACTTTGTCGGAAAGTTGGAAGTCCACTCGTGAACCGCCTGTTTCATCACTGAAGACTTGCTAATTATCGCTTTTGGTGCCTGACTGAGTGTCCACAAGTTCCTAAAGAAATTTGATGCAACACCTTTGCTCAATCTTTCCGTCCTTCGTAGTGGCCAAAAGAAAAGCGACGAACGAGCAGTGCGCAGGTACCTACAATAATGCAGGGTTGAACGGTGACTGAGTGGAGCTGGTCGCTGACATTGCAGTTCCACGCCATGTACCACACTCCTGTGACTGATGGTCTTCTAGAAACAAACAACAACATGAGGTCAGATACTTTTTGAGCCAGTTTTAACCCGGCCGGGCCCGGGGGGTAATCCCGGCCACCGCAGCCCGGGGGTGGTTTTTTTCGCCCCCCCCCCCCCGTCTAACTCCGTAAATAAGGTAGCTGCGGAAAAGAAAGCGATACTAAACGATAGGTCTTTACGAGACGATTCTAAAGCACCTAAAATTTTGACCTCAGATCAATTTTCAAAGTCAGAGGTCAAGGCCAGAGGCAAAAACCAGCACATGTGTAGTGATCTCAAAGTAAGCGTTTTAGGGGACGGCAGGATGCATAAAACCGGCAAAATTGGGTGTCAAACGAAAGAAGAGTATCTAAAGATTCCAAAAATGTGTTCAAAATCAATGGTCAAGGTCAAGGTCATGCTCAAAATTGACCTCACTGTCCTCAAGCTTTGCACTTTTTCGCACATCTTGCGTGCTGGCTTTTAAGATGTTTTGAAATGTTTTGAGGCTTATCAGGTCCCTATTTGTGGTTACTCTTACGATACAAGGCTGCTCAAATGTCAAGGTCACAAAGAGTATCCTTGCTTCTCATGCTAGAGGCTATTTCACTGGTTCAAGTTAGTAATAATAAATAAGACAATTTTGTCATTCGGAGGCTCTAAATGAAGGATTTGAGGAAAATAGATGCCAGATTCGAGATCAGCGGGTACGAATCCATCAGAAACGACCTTTCATATATCACGGTCAACCAAAGGTCATTCGAGGTCACATGAGGTCAACATAAAACTTGACCTTTTCCAAACAAAATATTTATCATTCGACGCGTCTCGACAAGGCGAATGCGATGGTATGTACCTACCACTGCCGTAGCTCTAGGGCCTTTTTTATCGAAGTTATTTGCGAAAAACTAAAACCACATTTCGGGGGTCGTTGACCTGACCTCTGACCTCAGGTCACCAAAAATATTTTTGTATCTATTTTTTTTCTAGGTGAAACGCTACACAACCGTGCTCGTAAGTTGTCCTTATCTCCAAACTGTATTTTTCGCAGCTATTTGAAGTTCGCGTCTGTGACGCCGAAGTTTGCCGTGCAGGGGTCTAGAAAAATTGACCCTGTGACGTCATCAAGGGGGCTAGGTTCAATTTTTTTACTTCAGAAGATGTCAAAGTGATGGGAAAAAAGGCTTTCCATCCTTAAGCGTTCGGGAGCTATCGCAAATATTCGCCAGTGGGGGGCGAAAAACGACCTCCCCCGGGTCCTTGAGGGTTAAGGGTTAAGTCCGTTAAGGGTTAACCCTCGCCCGCACATGCCATTTTCCCATCCTAGAACGCACATGGGGGTGCGACCCCCCCCCGCGCCATTTCGTTCCTGTTGGAGATAGAGCTTCGCGGTAAGACCAAAATGATTCTTTGGGAAGAGACGAATCCAATAATACCCAGTTTTACCTTCTCAGGGCAGTCATTGACCTTCCAGGTCAGGTCAAACTAAAAAATGTTGCTGTTTTGGGTCACCGTTGGATATCAAGTGCGCTGCTTAGCATATACCGATGACGATGCCGTTTTCTGGTGCCAAGCCAGCTAGAACCTCTTTGTCACACTACCCGACCAGGTTTTTGCTGCTGAGGTCATCTCAGGTCAAGTTAGGTCAAGGTCAATGATATGTGTTTGTATGTTTGTGTGTGTCTGTGTGTATACTCATGTGTGCACCGGCTGTTTATGTGTCCATATTACATGAAATCATGAGCTGAGAAGCTTGTACCAAAAATGAAGCCAAAAAACTTCACGAAAAGTCAATTCAACTTGCCTAAAACGCAATTATTTTAGATGACCTAGGCTGACCTTGACCCTGACCTTGACATCTGTACATCGTCGAACAACATGTTCCATGATAGGTGGGAGGTTAGACTGGCAAAAAAGGCCGAAATCGAGGTGTCAAAAGCTCACAAGGCCCATAGCCAACGCAAGATGTTGAGAATTGGTCATTTGGGTCTTGACATGACCTTAAAAACCAAGGTCATATCTCCAAAACCAAACACCACAGCAACTTGAAATTTTCAGTGGACATCAAGAAAGGATAGAAGAGCAGCTATACGAAACATCAGGCTTCTAGCTTTAAAAATATTGAGTGCATAGCAGAAAAACTACCTGGGGGGGATGGCAACCACCCCCCCCCCCCCCCCATGTGCGAGCGAGGGTTAAGACACTATAAATGACCTGCCTTTTGTCAAGTTCATCCAAAGTCATACGAGGCCATTACAAAACTTGACCGTTTGTGCATCATTCTAGTGTTAGTATGTGAAATATATACCCATATCTCAATTTTATGCCTGTAGCCTGGGGTCACAGCAATTTGTTGAACTCCTCCTCATAAGTGGACCTGAAACATTAGACCTGTAAGGAACGTAAGCAAGTCTTCCTCAGTGTAATTGCGCACGTGATAGTTGAGACCGTGCGAAATGTGGGAGCCACCGATCTAACCGGTTTCTAACAGCTTACCAACTTAAACACAATCATCCCATCCGTTCTTGGGTCCACGAGAAGTGGCGAATGCTCGTGCACATGCGGTCAGTGTCACCCCAGCTAAGTTTTCATTGAGCTGGTCCGCGACAGTGCCTGGTTTGAAGAGCTGGTTCCATGTAGCTGGTCCGTGATAGTGGTCGTCGGCTTTTTAGCTGTAAACGGTCCTTCGCTCTGATGCAAAAGCGGTTTCTGCGCTGTGTACGTGTAGATAGTAGCACCTCAACTCTCGCACACGGAAACATGTTTCCCGGTGGGCGCTCACAGCCCAAAGACGGGACCAAGTTGAAAGTGACTCAGTAATTGTTCATATGGAATGTTGTCTGATTTATTCACCCGTATGACCTGTTTCCTATGTCCATTGTCTATTTTTCAAAAGGTCCCTATTAGAATAAACACCCAGATGAATACAAAATGTTTGCATCATTATGAAACAATGTATTTTGCATGAGAAATAAAACACGATGATGAGTTATATGATTCATAAATAGCCAACATCGACATATTAAATAAGATTAAGGTCAGCGAACACCATTCAGCATAGATCACTTAGTTGTAGGCGGGCTTGTAAGCCGGCTGGTAGGCGGGCTTGCCGTAGCTGGGCTGGGGCTCGACGTAGGCGGGGTCCACCTCGGGGGTCGGGTACTCGGTGGGCACCGGGGTGGGCAGGATGTCGCTGGACGGCTGGTAGCCGTTCTCGTCGGCGACAAAGGCGACCTTGACCTCCTCGCCGTAGCCGTTGGTGTAGCTCCAGGAGCCCTCCTGGCGGTAGAGGTCCTCCGCCTCGCCGTAGGCGTTCTTGCCGTAGCCGGGCACCGGCACGCCAGTCTCAGACCTGAAAGAAGAAAAACGATCAGTTTAAACTATACAATTATTTGTCGCTCAGCCTATCTCGCATCCGCAAATTACTAAGCAAAGTGGGTATTTATTTATTGATAACAAAAGATGGTTTGGTTTTCCAGTATTTTGTTGTGTTAGTTATTTTCCTTTAATTTTGTTTTATTATTCTCACTGACCTGTAGATGCCGTTCTCGGTGGAGAACCTGGAGCTGTAGGTGCCATCTCCGGGGTGGACGTTCTCCTGCTCCAGGATAGCGATCGGCTTGTAGCTCGAGTGGCCGTAGGACGGGGCAGGAGCGTACTTGGGCTGGGGCTTGTAGGTCGGGGCCGGGGCGTAGGTCGGGGCAGCGTAGGTGGGACGGGGCCTGTAGGAAGGCTGGGGCCGGTCGGCGACGGCCACCAGGGCCAGAGCAGCGATGATGAACTGTGGAAAGAATTATAGCGCCTCAATTATCTTTGAAAATACAACACATTTTATATTTTTACCAGTGCAAGAACATAGTGTGTGTTTGGCTCCACATTGCTCGTAAGTAGTGCTACTCACCAGCTTCATGTTGTCTGAAGTGGGATCGGTGTGGAACTGATGCTCTCCCACAGTCGGTGCGGCCTTAAGTAGGTGGCGGTGTGGGACGGGACGGGCCCGCGGCCGGCCACGCCCCCCTTCCCCTGTGACCCTGACGCTTTGAAGACGAACGGTGTCCGTCTGTATGCGGCTATAATATGGAGGATCGGAGACATTTGCCATTGTTTCAACCCGGCACCGCCTGGGCTATTTCCGTACCCACGACAGCCTGGGGGGATCTGATCCGACCCCCCCCCCCCCCCTGTTATCTCGAGAACCAATGGTCGCATCGAGCCCCGCGAGGCGGCGTTCGAAAGGACTCTACTAGACCTTCCCAAAGCACTCTTAAGATCTTAAGATTGATGTCAACTTTCAGGTCAAGGTCAGGTCAAAGGTCAAATTCTGGGGTTTTGCATGATTAGGCTTACGGACAGCGGAATCGATTCTGCTGCTCGAAACTCACCAAAAATAACCTCAAAGACCTAGTGAAGGTACCATGTACGTATAGGGGTTATACTAAGTACGGGTCAAGGTCAGGTCAGGTCACGAAAGGTCACGGTTTTCAGTTTCCGCTACATGGGCGTGCGACACATGTTTTATGGCTTATTTTTCACCCCGAATCCGATGGTAATGGTTATGTGACCCCAAGTCACTGTGCTGGTGATAAGTGTGCATTGAAAGCATACAAAAAATCGTTTATACCATACATTAAACGAGGGCTAAGAAAAAAAGTCAATTTTCAACTTTTTATTTTTGACATAAAAATGCACTTTTCTAGACGAGCTTTGTCCCAGAAATCTAGTGGTGCCATTTGTTTTCACATGCAATGTTCAGAAGTGCCTCTAATTCACGAAAATGCCTATGACGTCACCATGCCCTATGCTTGTTGGAGCTGTTTTTACAATTTTAGGGTCACAAATCAAGATAGAAAGTTGAAATTTGGGACATCTAATGTTCTAATAGAGCTCTATAACATATATTCCATTTTTTGAAATTCTCAAAATTTTGGATTTTATTAGCTGTTTTCCCAAAAAATATAGTTCTTTGAATTTTAGGGGTTAAAAACGCATTTTATTGAAAATCCGAGATAGCCATTTTAAACAACTCGTTGAGTTGCTATTCATGTCCTATTCATTCATGTCCTATTTGTGTCCTTAATTTGCAATTTGCTTTAAACCCTGATTTTTGGCGATTTTTTTAACATTTACCACTTTTTGACTGAAAAACGCCATGTAGTTACATCACTAAAATCGATATATCTAAAAAAAAAAATGGAATAATTTTCTTAACAATTACACAGGGGACGTCAAATTGACGGGGGTGAAGGTATGCCAAGTTTCAAGTTGATAGCGTAAGCGATTCATGAGTTGTTCAAGAAAAACGGAGGGGGTCGGATCCGACCTCCCCCCCAGGCGGTCGCGGGTTAACCCTATTAGTGGCAGGCTCCTGGCTACCCCATATTAGTGGCAGGGGGGCTGTTTACGACCCCCCTTGATATCTCGAGATCTAACCGGCCGATTTTCAAAATTCAAACGGCATTCGATTTGGCTCAACGAGATCTACATTTCTAAAAAAAAATTAAGAAATGTCAATAGGGGGGTAGAGGGGGGTAAAAACGGGCAAATTGCAGATACATTTTAGACTGTTTATCACGGCTAGGTTTCTGAACCAATCTTAATTCTTAACGCAACTTTTGCCGATCGATAGAGAATGAACCAGGAATTCACATGGATCCTAAAAATATGCATTTTCAAAAATCATAGGCGGATACAGATCATTGAGATTGGGGGTACACAAAAAGCATAGTAAGTAAGGTTTTTGTTGGTACTGTTTCTAAAAAGGGTGGCAATGGTCTTGTTATGTTACAATTTTCTTATGAGAGAACGACTAAAATTGTATTGGTCATGCATAGGCGGTGTCAGGGCACCTATGTTGGGAGGTAAAAAATAACCCCCCTTTTTGGACGCCTGGATCCGCCTATTATAGCAAAAACGTGTCAAAAGAGGATGCACAATAACTTTGTATATGTTATCACATGATACCTTTCATTCACTGTTCGTAAAACTGGTGCAGCATCGTGATCTTCGAGACTTCGCCCAAATGACTCGCTTCACGAATAGGACCCCCAATTCCCAGTGCTCTGGAGCCGCCCCTGGTAAAGTTATGAACTTGAAATTTTCAGGGAATGTGCCCAATTTAGTTTTAGGAAAAGTCAGAAAATTTCAGCATCGTAGCTTCAGCGGTTTCGGAGATATTCCCGAAAAAACTGAGGGGTGGATAAAAACACACACCCCCCCTGCCACTAATAGGGTTAAGCCGTGGAAATTATGCAAATGAATGTTATGTCAATCTACAATTAATATATAATTTTGTTTGCCTGTTCTTGTGACATTTGTATCATATCGTTGAATTAAGATAAAAGTTAGAAAGTGTAGTTGTAAAAAGATGGTGATATAAAAAAAAACATTTTGTTTATTTGTTATGCACAACTCAGTTAAGCGTGCATTATTTAAATGTCGAACACGATGCGAAGCCCTCATTAGTTTGCTAAAGTAAATCATGTTATATTTATCTTCAACAAAGTTCGCCTGGTATTGGTTTTCTACATACGCGCTGGCTGAGGAGGAGGGGGGGGGGGTACGAGTTACGACCCCCGCCCTCGCTGTTTCGCCCCTGATGGAGCTAGATCGTCGCGGACAAAAACAAGCGTGTGCGCCTTTACACGAGACACAACGACTGGTACTCGAACTTAGGGTTTCAGGTCAATCGGTGACTTTAAGGTCAGGTCAAGTGACCCAAGGCACGGGTTCATCTTTTCCTAAATAACTTCGCAAAAACGGTTGCAGAGCCGCGATTTTAGTATCATCATGCTCACCTCGCTCAGGCGCGTCGAATGATTTTTTTTCGGTTGAGGTCAACTTGAGGTGTTGACCTCGGGTCAAGGTCAGGTCAGCATTTTGGGTCCCCCCGGTCCCCCCGTCACGAAGCTGGTCGAATGAGGTTATTTCGCATATCATTCGATCCGGCAGGTCTTCTCGAGTCCATTGGTGGCTTTCCCGACTCGCTAGCTCAATTTGATCGGGAGTTATTGACGAAAAACGTATGACACGCGCGAGTCTATTACCTATCCCTCAAGGTCAGCGGAGATCTTTCCGTTGCGTTTGGGCCCAAGTCGCCCACAGACAATCATGGTAAATCGAGTGCAGTTTTGAAATTCGTATCCGGGTTGTCTGCATGGTTCTTGCTGGAGAGCTACAGCAGTTTTTGGACGGATGGGCCATTCGGTCCCGGTATATAAGGGTCACCCATTGCAGGTGAGCGTGTTCCTGAGGTAATTAACCCGGCGGCCGCTGGGCCTCCGCGCCACCCGCCGGCCGCTGGGGGGCATATAGTTGCCCCCCCCTTTACTTCTGCTACGATATCGTCGCAACGCGAAGAGATAGAGAAGCGAAACTTTGCACACATCTTCCTGAATACCTAGCCGAGGTTGTGTCCAAATTTGGTGTTGATCCCGTATGAAATGACGTCACAGTGACGTCATAAGTGAAATTATAGATTTGCGACTCTCATATTCCTCACGATACATCAGATATATGGGACCGAATATAAAGGGCCGATTATTGATCAAAAACTAGATGGAAGTGTAGTTAGATGTTTTAGGATGACACCAGGTGCTGTCTAGTTCATTTACAGTTGAGTTTCATGCTCAGCGTCATCAGAAACGGTCCATATCGGAAAACGACAAAACTTTATGACGTCACTGTGACGCCATCTTAGGTGCTACAACCACCAAACTTCCCTCAAACATTGCCGAGGTATTCATTTGAAGCTATGCTAAGTTTCACATTCGTAGCTCATCAGGTTTCGGAGATATTTTACAAAACGTAAAGGGGGCAACTTTATGCCCCCGGCGGCTCGTGGGTTTTAACCCGCGCCCCACTTGGGGGGGGGGGGTATTCATAGGCCCCCTCCCGTTTTTCTGCAATAACTTTTAAACCGCTTGACGTATCGCCGCCAAACTTTCAGTACCTTCGGCTGCATCAATTTGACACCTTGTGTCAAAACCTTAACTTCGTATCTATCATAGGTCGGCCGGAAATGACGTCAGAGTGACGTCATGTTCGGCCGATTTCGACGCAAAACATTGAACCACGGGAATTGCTCCCAAGAGCTCAGTTTTTGAGCTAGATCCAATTTCTTTGCATGAAAGGACTCAGAATATACTGCGCTATCAAACTGCTATCTCGAATTTGCAAAATTTTGAAAATTTCGAAAATTATAAATTAAAATTCAAAATTTGTATTTTATCTTTTTTCCAACACTTTTTGACTTTTCGTAAAAATCGGAACATATATGATAGAACACATGCTTATGACTAAATCTAGCAAGTTTTAGCCATATATCTTTAAAAATGGTCATGTTATACGCATTATACCAAAAATTCCACAATTTTAAATTTTTCATCAGTTTGTATGTACGAATTTGACATCGTACACCAATATAAATAGCACCATCGTGTTCCTTTAGCTCCAACGGCATCCGATATAGGCATGCTAATTGTTGAAAATTTTCAACTTTGAAACTTGACCTTTTTTGACCTGAAAGTGACCTGACTTCAGCTATATTCAGATGAAAATGGCCTCAAACGACGCAGGCCACACCGAATTCGATGTCTATGGTCCAAATGGACCATAAAACATGTGTCACGTGACCGACTTATGACATAAGATTTGACCCTGACCTGAAAATCAAAGTACAAGTTTGGTACACTCAGGGTATCTAAGGCATCTGGTCACGAGTGTGTAAACAAAACATCAGCCTGATCTGACTTGTAAGACGGCAGCCAGAGCCCAAAATGTGAACAAGCCAAATATCGATAATTTTTACTTTGACCTGACCTGTGACGTCATCGGTGACCTCGAGGTCAATGAAATTAGGTTTCGCTCGACAGTGTTTTTCCGGGGCTATCAGATGCTGTTTGAATTTTGACGATTGGTCGAGTAGTTTCGGAGTTAGAAGGGGGGCTATGAATAGCCCCCCCCCCTTCCCAAGTAGGGCGTGTTATACACAGACCCCAGTGGGGCGCGGGTTAACTCGAAAAAATTACCGTCGATATGAAAACATATATGCTTAGGGAAAACATATAGGTTGGGGTGGCTAATATTACTATTCACCTCGGTGTATTTTTTCGCCTGGATGGCGAATTTCGGGGACGACTTAAGGTAACATATTCGGGCAGCCGGCGATTTTTCTGTTCGTAAAACTGCCCTCTGAATTATTAAACTTTTTGAGAAATGCTACTGGTGATTGTATATTTATGGGCACACTTACACAATAAACAATGACTGACATATTGGCAAGACACCAATAAAAGCCAATCACGATAAACATAAATACATTAACAACGACGTTTGTGACAATACGACAAATCAGCAATTCCTTACAAGAGTGAACACAAGTTGACTTAGTTGCCGGTAAGTGGACATCTCGGTGAGCCTGTCTTTAATAGTCATCTCGCTCTGGCTCCAAGTCCCGGTCGCCCAATCCTGCCGTGATTTTTCGATGACGCTTAGTTGTAGGCAGGCTGGGCCTCGACGTAGGCCGGCTGGTAGGCGGGCTGGGGCTTGCCGTAAGTGGGCTGGGGCTCGACGTAGGCGGGCTGGGGCTCGACGTAGGCGGGCTGGGCCTCGACGTAGGCAGGCTGGGACTCGACGTAGGCCGACTGGGGCTCGACGTAGGCGGAGTCAACAGCAGGGGTCGGATACTGGGTGGGCACCGGCGTCGGCAGGATGTCGCTAGACGGCTGGTAGCCGTTGTCGTCGGCGACAAAGGTCACCTTGACGGGGTTGCCGTATCCGTCGGTGTAGCTCCAGGAGCCCTCCTGGCGGTAGCTGCCCTCCGGCTGGCCGTAGGCGTTCTTGCCGTAGCCGGGCAGGGGAACACCGCTCTCAGACCTGAGAATGAGTTTAAAGCGTTGATAGCTAATTTTTCTGGCAGAAAGTTGGCATAGCAAGATCTGTTCGTCACCTTGATCGCAAATGTCATGCAAAGTTTTTGAAGGTTAGATGATTAGATAAATAAATCGAGACTTTGCACGATACTTTAAGTTTTTAATATAAAAAATGCAAGATCGCAAAGCTACCTAAACTATATGCATGCAATTGCAGTACTTTGCTACCCTAAATTTGCCAAATGTAACATGTATTACCTGTAGATGCCGTTCTCGGTGCTGAAGTGGAAGTTGTAGGAGCCATCTCCAGGGTGGACGTTCTCCTCCTCAAGGATAGCAATCGGCTTGTAGCTCGGCTGGGCCTTGTAAGAGGAGGCCGGAGCGTAGGCGGGGGCAGAGTAGGTCGGGGCAACGTAGGTAGGAGCAGCGTAAGTCGGGGCAGAAGGGGCATAGGTAGGGGCAGCGTACGTCGGGGCAGGGGCAGCGTAGGTCGGGACAGGAGGGGCGTACGTAGGCTCAGGCCTGTAAGTGGGGGCCTGGTCGTAGGTCGGCCGGGGCCTGTAGGCAGGTGCCGGCGCATAGCGAGTCTGGGGCTGGTCGGCGGCAGCCACCAGGGCCAGGGCGGCAATCACAAACTGAAACACAGAAAACGGTCCGTTAATCCAACGACAGTTTATAAAGTTATTTTGCTGAAGTCCACGTTTGACATATGGTATGTTTCCAAGGCAGCTTCATCCGGGGCGATCCGCCAGAGCTACTCACAGCCTTCATGTTGTTGTGACTGGGTGCAGTGTCGAACTGATACCTGGGTCGGTTTGCTCGTCCATTAAATAGTCGGGTCTTTGACAATGGCGCCCCCGGGCTGGTCAGTGCTCTGCTGACCACACCCGTCACCAGGGAGCTCCCCGGCCGCTAGGACCGCCCAGACGTCTGCCGCAATACCTACCGAGCCGCCCCGCCCTCCCGGCCCCTCCCCTTCCTACGGCCACTGCTGACCGGTCCGGCCGGTCACTGCACAGCGGTGGATCACAATTGATCTGGCCTTGATCTTCGGCTGAGGCTACGCCCGAGGAACGGTTCCTTATGCGTGAAGGAGTGGCGTGTTGTCGACTTTGTCGGAAAGTTGGAAGTTCACTCGTGAACCGCCTGTTTCATCACTGAAGACTTGCTAATTATCGCTTTTGGTGCCTGACTGAGTGTCCACAAGTTCCTGAAGAAATTTGATGCAACACCTTTGCTCAATCTTTCCGTCCTTGGTAGTGGCCAAAAGAAAAGCGACGAACGAGCAGTGTGCAGGTACCTACAATAATGCAGGGTTGAACGGTGACTGAGTGGAGCTGGTCGCTGACATTGCAGTTCCACGCCATGTACCACACTCCTGTGTCTGATGGTCTTCTAGAAACAAACAACAACATGAGGTCAGATACTTTTTGAGCCAGTTTTAACCCGGCCGGGCCCGGGGGGTAATCCCGGCCACCGCAGCCCGGGGGTGTTTTTTTTCGCCCCCCCCCCCCCGTCTAACTCCGTAAATAAGGTAGCTGCGGAAAAGAAAGCGATACCAAATGATAGGTCTTTACGAGACGATTCTAAAGCACCTAAAATTTTGACCTCAGATCAATTTTCAAAGTCAGAGGTCAAGGCCAGAGGCAAAAACCAGCACATGTGTAGTGATCTCAAAGTAAGCGTTTTAGGGGACGGCAGGATGCATAAAACCGGCAAAATTGGGTGTCAAACGAAAGAAGAGTATCTAAAGATTCCAAAAATGTGTTCAAAATCAATGGTCAAGGTCAAGGTCATGCTCAAAATTGACCTCACTGTCCTCAAGCTTTGCACTTTTTCGCACATCTTGCGTGCTAGCTTTTAAGATGTTTTGAAATGTTTTGAGGCTTATCAGGTCCCTATTTGTGGTTACTCTTACGATACAAGGCTGCTCAAATGTCAAGGTCACAGAAGAGTATCCTTGCTTCTCATGCTAGAGGCTATTTCACTGGTTCAAGTTAGTAATAATAAATAAGACAATTTTGTCATCCGGAGGCTCTAAATGAAGGATTTGAGGAAAATAGATGCCATATTCGAGATCAGCGGGTACGAATCCATCAGAAACGACCTTTCAAATATCACGGTCAACCAAAGGTCATTCGAGGTCACATGAGGTCAACATAAAACTTGACCTTTTCCAAACAAAATATTTATCATTCGACGCGTCTCGACAAGGCGAATGCGATGGTACCTACCACTGCCGTAGCTCTAGGGCCTTTTTTATCGAAGTTATTTGCGAAAAACTAAAACCACATTTCGGGGGTCGTTGACCTGACCTCTGACCTCAGGTCACCAAAAATATTTTTGTGTCTATTTTTTTTCTAGGTCAAACGCTACACAACCGTGCTCGTAAGTTGTCCTTATCTCCAAACTGTATTTTTCGCAGCTATTTGAAGTTCGCGTCTGTGACGCCGAAGTTTGCCGTGCAGGGGTCTAGAAAAATTGACCCTGTGACGTCATCAAGGGGGCTAGGTTCAATTTTTTACTTAAGAAGATGTCAAAGTGATGGGAAAAAAGGCTTTCCATCCTTAAGCGTTCGGGAGCTATCGCAAATATTCGCCAGTGGGGGGCGAAAAACGCCCTCCCCCCGGGTCCGTGAGGGTTAAGGGTTAAGTCCGTTAAGGGTTAACCCTCGCCCGCACATGCCATTTTCCCATCCTAGAACGCACATGGGGGTGCCACCCCCCCCCCCGCACCATTTCGTTCCTGTTGGAGATAGAGCTTCGCGGTAAAGACCAAAATGATTCTTTGGGAAGAGACGAATCCAATAATACCCAGTTTTACCTTCTCAGGGCAGTCATTGACCTTCCAGGTCAGGTCAAACTAAAAAATGTTGCTGTTTTGGGTCACCGTTGGATATCAAGTGCGCTGCTTAGCATATACCGATGACGATGCCGTTTTCTGGTGCCAAGCCAGCTAGAACCTCTTTGTCACACTACCCGACCAGGTTTTTGCTGCTGAGGTCATCTCAGGTCAAGTTAGGTCAAGGTCAATGATATGTGTTTGTATGTTTGTGTGTGTCTGTGTGTATACTCATGTGTGCACCGGCTGTTTATGTGTCCATATTACATGAAATCATGAGCTGAGAAGCTTGTACCAAAAATGAAGCCAAAAAACTTCACGAAAAGTCAATTCAACTTGCCCAAAACGCAATTATTTTAGATGACCTAGGTTGACCTTGACCCTGACCTTGACATCTGTACATCGTCGAACAACATGTTCCATGATAGGTGGGAGGTTAGACTGGCAAAAAAGGCCGAAATCGAGGTGTCAAAAGCTCACAAGGCCCATAGCCAACGCAAGATGTTGAGAATTGGTCATTTGGGTCTTGACATGACCTTAAAAACCAAGGTCATATCTCCAAAACCAAACACCACAGCAACTTGAAATTTTCAGTGGACATCAAGAAAGGATAGCAGAGCAGCTATACGAACCATCAGGCTTCTAGCTTTAAAAATATTGAGTGCATAGCAGAAAAACTACCTGGGGGGATGGCAACCACCCCCCGCCCCACCCCATGTGCGAGCGAGGGTTAAGACACTATAAATGACCTGCCTTTTGTCAAGTTCATCCAAAGTCATACGAGGCCATTATAAAACTTGACCGTTTGTGCATCATTCTAGTGTTAGTATGTGAAATATATACCCATATCTCAATTTTATGCCTGTAGCCTGGGGTCACAGCAATTTGTTGAACTCCTCCTCATAAGTGGACCTGAAACATTAGACCTGTAAGGAACGTAAGCAAGTCTTCCTCAGTGTAATTGTGCACGTGATAGTTGAGACCGTGCGAAATGTGGGAGCCACCGATCTAACCGGTTTCTAACAGCTTACCAACTTAAACACAATCATCCCATCCGTTCTTGGGTCCACGAGAAGTGGCGAATGCTCGTGCACATGCGGTCAGTGTCACCCCAGCTAAGTTTTCATTGAGCTGGTCCGTGACAGTGCCTGGTTTGAGGAGCTGGTTCCATGTAGCTGGTCCCTGACAGTGGTCGTCGGCTTCGAGCTGTGAACGGTCCTTCGCTCTGATGCAGAAGCGGTTTCTGCGCTGTGTACAGTCTGTCTTAAAAGTACCGCGCAAAGTGGCGGTGGATCCATCAAGCCTGACGGAGAAAGGGTCTGCTTTAATTTGAAAGTCACCGACCATTTGACCTAGGGAATGGACGAGGATGTCAATTGCTTCGGTGACCCAAATTTAGCAGGCCCTTCCTCAGTCAGGCTCGATGGATCCGGCGTCACTTTGCGCGGTACTTTTAAGACAGACTGTACGTTTAGATAGTAGCACCTCAACTGTCGCACACGGAAACATGTTTCCCGATGGGCGCTCACAGCCCAAAGACGGGACCAAGTTGAAAGTGACTCAGTAATTATTCATATGGAATGTTGTCTGAATTATTCACCCGTATGACCCGTTTCCTATGTCCATTGTCTATTTTTCAAAAACTTCCTATTATATAAACACCCAGATGAATACAAAATGTTTGTATCATTATGAAACAATGTATTTTGCATGGGAAACAAAACACGATGATGTGTTGTATGATTCATAAATAGCAAACATCGACATAATAAATAAGACAAAGGTCAGCGAACACCATTCAGCATAGATCACTTAGTTGTAGGCGGGCTTGTAAGCCGGCTGGTAGGCGGGCTTGCCGTAGCTGGGCTGGGGCTCGACGTAGGTGGGGTCCACCTCGGGGGTCGGGTACTCGGTGGGCACCGGGGTGGGCAGGATGTCGCTGGACGGCTGGTAGCCGTTCTCGTCTGCGACAAAGGCGACCTTGACCTCCTCGCCGTAGCCGTTGGTGTAGCTCCAGGAGCCCTCCTGGCGGTAGAGGTCCTCCGACTCGCCGTAGGCGTTCTTGCCATAGCCGGGCACCGGCACGCCAGTCTCGGATCTGCAACATAAATAATTGTGCATTATTGTATTATATTTAACATTCAATGCCCGTCCATGCTCAAACAGTTTGTTTGATTTCATATTGTAGACTTTGTACTTCTCGCGGTCAGTGTTATGCTTTTGATAATTCTATAAAGCAACGTTGACTCATGTGCAAATGATGGATACGCTTATAATCTTGTCAATCAGTAAGGGAAATCGTAGCTACAGATACAACCAGTATGGACTATTGACTATCCGTGTAGTCGTACAGTTCTCTTTCAAACGAAAGATTTATGAAATAACATGCAAAGGGGGTCAGTATGGCTGATGTTACTGCAAAGTGGAAGGTTAACTGACCTGTAGATGCCGTTCTCGGTGGAGAACTTGGAGCTGTAGGTGCCATCTCCGGGGTGGACGTCCTCCTGCTCCAGGATAGCGATCGGCTTGTAGCTCGAGTGGCCGTAGGACGGGGCAGGAGCGTACTTGGGCTGGGGCTTGTAGGTCGGGGCCGGGGCGTAGGTCGGGGCAGCGTAGGTGGGACGGGGCCTGTAGGAAGGCTGGGGCCGGTCGGCGACGGCCACCAGGGCCAGAGCAGCGATGATGAACTGCAATGAAAATATGATTTGTTACTTCTTTACCTATTACAAGTACTTGCTATCCTACTTCTGTCTTGCTACTCCTGATCGAAATTAACAACTATATTTTGACCTGCAGACCGGTGCTGACAACGATGCTGAATTTCTGTTGGATGAAATTGAGAATTGACGCGTGTCTTATCTTAAAATTATTTGGATTGCAAGCTAGATGTCACCTAAAGCCTGAACACGAGTTAATGCCTTTTCAAATCACTTTGTTCTACTTTTGTGTTTACGAATGCCTTTTTAACTTTCTACGGTGACTAGTAAATATTGATGTCATATCCTGGAAACGTTCACTGAAAATGTTTTGCACATCCTCATCCAAAGTTCTGATCACAGTTTGACTCTTAAAAAGTAAAACTATGTCAATGCTCTCCATTTCATCCGAGTGCTACTCACCAGCTTCATGTTGTGTGTGGTGGGATCGGTGTGAAACTGATGCTCTCCCACAGTCGGTGCGGCCTTAAGTAGGTGGCGGTGTGGGGCGGGACGGGCCCGGCGGCCGGTCACGCCCCCCCCCCCTTCCGACCCTGACGGAGGTCAACACGCGGCGCTGAGTACGCGACAGAAGCACTACAGTGGAAGCAGGCGCGACCCTGCAGGGGCCCTGGTCTGTAAGGAAAGACAGAGTGGCAGCTCTTAAAGGTATTCACAAATTGCTACTATTTGACCAAAAGCTTGACCAAATCCTAGACGCTTCACCAGCGATGACAACTGAGGAAATGAAGAACCCCTGTACTTACCTAGCGGGCGTGTTTGACGTTTCATTTTTTTTTCAAGCGAGTTCGCAAAGCTGACCTTTCATCGGCCTTTTTACCGTATCTTTTGAACGAGACCCAGATGCGTAGTGCAACGTAAAGTGACCATCCCTCCTTAACATTAGTTTTGAGTTGAGATAGCCAAATTGGGGTCCCTGGCCTGCAATTACCGGTTAGGGCACCTCAGGGGCTAATGCCTTTGAATGTCCCCTTATACTTTGTGACGTCAGCGCAGATCTCTAACAATTTTCAAATCTTATACTAAAGCCTTTGTAAAAGACCATTGTTGCTTTGGTGGTATATACATATGTACTAACTTGCGCGTAACATATGTCACACTTTAAAGATACAAAACTTTTGTTCCAAATAACGTCACAGGAACAACGGAGGCCCAAAATGAAAATTAAAAGGAATAAAAGTCTAGTTCCTAAAAAAAAGATGAATGGTTAATTGTTTTCGTTGGGATTTGGTGCACATTCATGTTTCCTCCTTCTGAACCACGGACACCCCTTAAGTTTTTTGACAGTGGGAGGGACCCTCGCCTCGGCGTCCGTTCCGTATCTCGGTAGAGCGTTGGATTCCCGGGTTCAAGTCGCTCCGGCAATCGATACCTATCCGATAGAAAGCATGCATTGCAGGGAGATGAATGGCAAACGTGCGGAAAGTGATTTATTTAAGGTATATTTTGCAAATGCTTACACAACAGATACACATAAATACAGATTATGCTTCCAACATTTCAGATGATGACAACGATCGGTTTCAAAATCACTTCAGTCATATACTGTGTGATTTCACCTCGCGTTTTCAGCATCAAATATTGCATTTACTTAATTGTAGGAAGGCTGGTAGGCCGGCTGATAGGCGGGCTGGTAGGCGGGTTGGGGCTTGCCGTAGGTGGGCTGGGGCTCGACGTAGGCCGGCTGGGGCTCGACGTAGGCCGACTGGGGCTCGACGTAGGCGGAGTCAACAGCAGGGGTCGGGTACTGGGTGGGCACCGGCGTCGGTAGGATGTCGCTGGACGGCTGGTAGCCGTTCTTGTCGGCGACAAAGGTCACCTTGACGGGGTTGCCGTATCCGTCGGAGTAGCTCCAGGAGCCCTCCTGGCGGTAGCTGCCCTCCGGCTGTCCGTAGGCGTTCTTGCCGTAGCCGGGCAGAGGAACACCGCTCTCAGACCTGAGAATGGTTTTTATTGTGTCAATAACGTATCTTTTTGTCTTTTTTACACTGGATGTCATAATCATTCCTTATTATATTATTAAATGCGCATTTTTTCACCACAAACATACATATTGACTTTGTAAGTTTGACTTTGTGACTTTGTAAGCAAGTATATTTATTTAAAAAGCGCCTTTTATTTGGTGACCTTCTTCAAAATGGAGCGACCGTGTTGTAGAGGTGGGACCTTATTAAGGCCCGCATGGCAATAGAAGGAAACTTTGTTCTGTGAAGCCATGGTAATGAGAGCGAAATGAATATCACGGCCTTTATTTTCACGGATTTAGCGCTAACCAGACTGCTTGCATCTCAACTCAATTTCAAGTAGGTTAAGTTTTAGTATTCTTAGCCGAAATCTCGAGATTTATCATTTCTCACCTATAGATGCCGTTCTCGGTGGAGAACTTGGAGTTGTAGGTGCCGTCTCCGGGGTGGACGTCCTCCTGCTCAAGGATAGCGATCGGCTTGTAGGTAGACTGGACCTGGTAGCTGGGAGCGGCATATGTGGGGGCAGCGTAGTTCGGGGCAGAGTAGGTCGGGGCAGAATAGGCAGGTCGGGGCCTGTAGGAAGACTGGGGCCGGTCGGCAGCAGCCACCAGGGCCAGAGCAGCGACGATGAACTGAAAATGATAAACATTTGTTTTAGGTTTTTTTTCCTGACAGCCTATGGAGCTGACTGGCAAAACATTTCTCCCTTTGGTAATGCTGTGAGCATGTTTTGAATTCACATGTTCTTAGAAATATATCCTGCCAAGTGCCATGGAGTATGCTACTTCTATATTGTATTCTGCAAGAATGTATTTCTAGAATTAACTATTGTAAATGCTAAGCTGCATTCAATTCTCGTTCACTCGGTGATCGATAGAATGAGTTGCACTACCGAATACGTTTCATTTACTAGTTACTCACGATTTTCATGTTGAAGAGACTTGGTCTGTGAGCCAAATGATACCCTGATTTCGTCTGTGGTGTCTTTAAATAGTTACGCGGTACATAGACGAACCGCGCCCCGCGACCCATCCATTGTTCGCATTCTACCACACTGCAAAACCTGTTCTGACGATTGACCGAGCTCGCGCCGGTCTGTTACTTAATGTTTCAATAAAGTGACATTTTTAACAACCTTGGCATGTCCCATTTCACAAAGAGGGCGTTCAGCCATACTGCTTTACATACTCGTATAGGTCTCCATTACCAGGATTCTGCATAAGTACCGTCAATGTGACGTCAACATTGTTTTTGACTGCGAGGAGAATCAATAATATATAACTGATCTAATACTACAAGGTTTTGATGATGAATAATCGAGGAAAACAGATTTATTTTCGCGATAGGACTAGTAAAGGCTTTTGTGACTTGTAGTTAGTACTAGGTAGCGTTCTCCGCATTCACTAATGCTGGGCGTTTTTGAAACAAGTGATTAAATATGTTGTTTTTTTCATTAGCTCGAGTTCGAAACTACCGCTACAATGACAGGAGATTTCTAAAAATTAGTCAATAGAAACATGTTTATAAATAGACCCCATTTTTATCATCGAACGTATAAGAGCTTTTTGTTGTTTTTATAAATCACTAGAGGCATTCGGCTTCCTTTGGGTGCATCTGCTTCAACCATGCTACATTAACTGATTTACCGATTTGAAGGCATGAATACAGAATACACGTATGTGAATAGGGGAGACCCCCTATATGTAATAGGGGAGGCGCATAGCTTCGCGAAATTTGTCATGCCTTTTCTTTTATCAATTTTAAACATTGTGTATGTACAAGTTTGAACCCCCTTCCTTTTAGGGTCAGGCCACCAAGTCACTTCGAATGACCCAACCTCAAATCACTTTTTTGCAACTTTGTCACCGTGTCAGAGCTACAGTAGATGACGGAGGCCTTTGAAAGTCGTAGGATGTAATGAGGTCATTGATAGCTACAATGTGCAAATCTCTGAATTTTGATATCGATGATCTAAGGTCAGGTCAATTTCTTGACCTCCCCATGATAAGTCAATGGGGAAAAATCAACCTCCTGTTTTCCACTAAACCGGCCGGCCGGGCGCGCGGCTCGCCACCCTAGCAGGGTGACGGGTCGCGGGCCCGGCCGGCGGCCAGGGGCATCGCCCCAGCGAGAACGAGTATGTACAGCCCTCTGCAAACTGCGTGGTAGGTATTCTTTTTTCGCCAAAACCGAGAATAACGCGGATACTATGCTATCGGTCACTTGGAAATCGTAACAGCAAGACGCGGGAGACTTCGCACTTTGGATTGGCATTACCATCGTCCTCATTTTCCATCCAGTTTGGCAACAAAACCCAAAAGTTTATATTTGCCCCAAAAACAAACTTATGCATTTTGTTGCCACACAAGGCATCTACTTTGTTTAGTGATAGACCCAATCGAAGGAGTGGAGCATGACGAGGCGCCATACTTGCAGTGAGTTCCGACCGACTGATAACATAATCTTTGAGCTATTACCGGTTTTGTCGAAAAAAGAATACCTACTACGCAGTCTGCTGAGGGCTGTACATGTGGGATTCGCGGGGCGATGCGGGGCGGGGCGAGGTTTGTGAACGTTTGGTGCGCTCGCATTGTTACATGCCCAATATGTGCATTTGCAATGTGCATCCATATGCATGAGTGACATGTGATTCACGATGTACGTATACCTATACATCATATGTGCGTATATGAACGAAATAAATGTTTAAAAAATTCAATGGAAGAAAATTGAAAAGCGTCTGTTTTGTACGAACGCTATTCTAGACACTCTCAAACATCGAGATGTAGGTAGAATTGGCACACTGAACCGGAAAATGGCAATTGTGACCTCTCGTTATGTCCCCGAGGTCATCTCAGGTCACGAACAGAATCTAACAGTTTTTCGCTAATAACTTCTGATGATAGAGGCGTGTCAGAGCGCGGAAAACGCCTAGATGTGCTCGGCTCGACGTTGCGGATCGACTGATATGCAACATGACCTTTTCCGGTCAGGTCATTTTGACCTGAGGTCAAATTTTCAAGCTGACATTTCAAGGTCAAATTATTGTTCATTCGACGCGTCTCGACAAGAGGAACACGATGCTGGCAAAAGTAATGTCATGGCTCTTTTGTTATTGCCGAAAAAAACGCTTTGCTTAAAAACGGCTATTTTTGGAGTTTTTGCCCTCTGGAGGCTAAATCGTTGGCCTGAGGTCAAATATGAGAGCAATATTCAGAAAGGTCTGTAAAAGGGCTATCGAATGCGCTTTTCCGCGGCGCTGTATCTCTATCGGTTCTCGAGATAGCCGTCGGCAGTTTCCAAAATGTTGAAATAGTCAACATTTTACCTTTGGTGACCTCTGGTGACCTGACCTTTGACCTGACCCCAAAAATGACTGCAGTGTTTTCGTCCTTATTTTGGACGTTCTTTCGATTGCCGCTTATCGCGTGTCGCTACGTGGCCCAGGAGCCGAGTTAGAAGGGGGGATGTTCAGACACCCCCCCCCCGGCCCGGCGCGGAATCTCGGAGCACCGGCCTGGCGCGGGTTAACCTAGGCGCCCCGCTGGGCGCTGGGGGGCAGAATCTGCCCCCCCCCCTTCCGTTTGTCGCCAATTACTTCTAAACGCGTTACGCCAGAGACGTCAAACGTTCAGTACCTTATCATACATCAATTCAAGACGTTTCCTGAAAATTTGAGCAAAATCCATCGGAAAACGCCGCTAACATCTTCATTTTTAAAGAATCAAGACATAAGAAAAAAGTTTATACGTGATTCTACCTTGTCTATTAAATGGCTCTCTCGGTTTTTGAAAATTCTGGATTTGGCCCAATTTTTTACCTCCAAAAACTGACTTTTTTGGGGAAATAATTATAAAATCCATAATTTTGAGTGTATCGAGAAAAAACAAATCGGAATATATGTCAGAAAAGTGGTCTATGTGCACCTACATACCAATTTTTAGAAGAATCGGTTCAAAAATGTGGGATTTTTTCAAAATTTTATGACGTCACGACACACAAAAATTTTGAAAAATGATTTTTTTGGATTTTCTAGACCTCTTGCGGAAGCAAAATAGCACCATTCGATTCGCCGTGAAAAACTGCATCAGATAGACACCTTTTTAGGCCTTAACAACCAACTTCAAAATTTGACCTCACTTGACCTGACCTTGACCTGATCTCGACCTGAAATTCATCCAGAGGTGGTCCATATCACTTATTGAGTGTGCCTATCGAATTCTATGGATAAAATGGCCCATAAAACATGTGTCGCACATACCCTTTTCTATATTTTGTTTTTGGTGACCTGACCTGACCTGACCTGACCTTGACCTTGACCTTTGAATGATATTGTATGCAACGAATATTGTCTTGGTAGCCTAAGAACACGTTGTGGGCAATCAGTTTCAGTCCATTCCTCGGCAACTACGGTGCAAGGCCGATACTGTAGAAACTTGCATTGCGTTTGTTTGTTTGTTTGTCGTTTATTCATGATTATGGGCATGGACAATGGACATAAATAAAGTTGAATTGGTGCAAAAGCATTAACCCGCGCCCCGCTGGGCTATTCAGCCATACGCGCCCTGCTGGGGGGGGGGGGCAGATTCTGCCCCCCCTGTCTAACTTCCGAACCGATGGTCGTAGAAAGACGGGGAAAACGGCAATCGAAAGCTCTCAACAAGGCGGATCTTAAGAGCCCAAATTTTTTTGCTTAAGTAGGTCAGAGGTCAGGTCAAGGTCAGGTCAAAGGGTACAAAATGCAAGTTTCTACAGTATCGGCCTTCGTTAGGCGGCACGGGCGGACATCGATAGCAGCGCCTATATCGGTCACTAGGGAAAGCTGGGCTGTAGGCGACAAAATACCGGCTGAGTTGTCACACGTTGAATAGGTTTATAGACATCCGTCTTGTGAAAAAGTTGAACTTTTGCCTTCAATATTTTTACAGGCAATTTTAGAAGTGTCTTCACATAGATTACAACACCGTTAAGATTATTGTATTCACTTCAAGCCTTCCCTATTGTTCTTGATGATGCGGGAACTATTTCTAATTAGTGTTTCTATTTTAAAAAAGAACATATTGTGCAAACGATGAAAAAAAAACATAGATGGAAGATTTTAAATGCAATTTTCTCTAGCAATTAATGGTAAATTATCTACAGATCAAGGAAAAGATGCATGCTAACTGATAATTTAAAGTTATTGGGGCCAGTTGTTTTCTTCTTTTCTTACGTCGCCCCAATGACCGCGAATACACTTGTGATAACGCCTATCGTTGCACCGTAGTTGCCGAAGAATGGACTGAGACTGATTGCCCAAAACGTGTTCTTAGACTACCAAGACAATATTCGTTGCACACAATGTCATTCAAAGGTCAAGGTCAAGGTCAGGTCAGGTCAGGTCAGGTCACCAAAAACAAAATATAGAAAAGGGCATGTGCGACACATGTTTTATGGGTCATTTTACTCATGGAATTCAATAGGCACACTCAATAAGTGATTTTCACCACCTCTGGATGAATTTCAGGTCGAGGTCAGGTCAAGGTCAGGTCAAGTGAGGTCAAATTTTGAAGTTGGTTGTTAAGGCCTAAAAAGGTGTCTATCCGATGCAGTTTTTCACGGCGAATCGAATGGTGCTATTTTTATGTCCGTGCGAGGTCTAGAACTTCCAAAAAAATCATTTTTCAAAATTTTTGTGTGTCGTGACGTCATAAAATTTTGAATAACTCCCACATTTTTGAACCGATTCTTCTAAAAATTGGTATGTAGGTGCACATAGACCACTTCTTTGACATATATTCCGGTTTTTTCGACAAACTCAAAATTTTGAATTTTATAAGTATTTTCCCAAAAAAGTCAGTTTTTTGGAAAACTTTTGGCCAAAATCCAAAATTTTCAAAAAACCGAGATAGCCATTTGATAGACAAAGTAGAATCACGTATAACCTTTTTTGTTACGTCTTGATTCCTTTAAAAATGAAGAAGTTAGCGGCGTTTGAAATTTTGCCGTTTTTTAGGCGAAAATGGCGAACATGACGTCACTAAAACGTCAATTTCTCAAAAATTATCCGACGGATTTCGCTCAAATTTTCAGGGAACGTGTCAAATTGTTGTATGATAAGGTACTGAAAGTTTGACGTCGCTGGCGTAACGCGTTTAGAAGTTATTGGCGAAAAACGGGAGGGGGGGCAGATTCTGCCCCCCCCCCCCAGCGGGGCGCGGGTTAACTTATTACGAGGCACCTCTTCAACAAAACAAAACGAAACAGAGCTTCACCGAAATAAACACACGCACACACCAGATCCCACGCGCAACCCCACCGCCCCGACAGACCTTCCGACCACTACAGCTGGACCACACGCGCTCCGCCAGCCTGCGGCCTCCTCCCTAACTTTGTACGGTGGCCGGTGCCGTTCCATGGCATACGAGTATGCCGTCCCGGCCCCGGGGAGAGCTGTGGGATATCTCCCCGGGCCTGAGAGATCTAGTGGATGCCTCCCCGGCGCTCCAGACGGGCCGCGAGCCCCCGCCCGCACCCCCGGAAAATCATCTTTCCGGGGGTGCCCCCTAACCACAGTCCGGGCGAGGGGAGCGCCGACCCGACCCGACAGGCCGGCGCTCCGCCCGCCAGGCCGGCCGACCGGTCCCTTTCAAGTGGGAGCGGTACTCAGGTTGGCCCGGATGGGTCATAGGGGCGGGCGGAGCGCCTCCCGCCGCCCGCAGATTCTGGCCCAATGCTTGGCAACTCAGGTTTTCGCCACAGGCCGGCGGAGCCCGCCTGGTCCTATAGTAGACCACATCTGCTGTACCCTTGACCTGACTTTGACCTGACCTCTGACCTACTTAAGCAAAAAAAAATTGGGCTTTTAAGATCTGCCATGTTGAGAGCTTTCGATTGCCGTTTTCCTCGTCTTTCTTCGACCATCGGTTCGGAAGTTAGATGGGGGGGCAGAATCTGCCCCCCCCCCCAGCAGGGCGCGTATGGCTGAATAGCCCAGCGGGGCGCGGGTCAAGCCAATGGGGAAAATAAAAAAGACGTTCCACGGCAAATTGCTCGAAAACGATCCAAACAACCCCCCCCCCCCATTTTCTTTCATGCGGATCAACCACCATTCGGTGCACTACCCATGCGTTTTCATCTAGGATAATTTTTGAGATATCTTTTTGATTTGTGAAAATGACCGAAAAGCTGAATCTCTGGAATCCTAGCGGCTAGCGGTATGCCAGTCGTTGATAAATTATTATCTGGCGGCGGCCGGGCGCTTTTTTTTTGTTTTTTTTTGCGGTGTTTGCGTTTGACGGCTGGCAGGCGACTTTTAGGCGTTTTCGGTTGGCAGTTAGCGACCGTGCGATGCGGGCGGTTTTATTTTTTCGGCGTTTCTGCGTTTTTTGTGGTTTGCGGCGGTCGGGCGATTTTTTCCACGTTTGCGTTGGCGTTTCGGGCGAGCGCTTTGCACGTTTTGCGGTGTTTACGTTTTGCGGCGGGCGGGCGTTTTGTGTTTTTTTTTGCGGTGTTTGTCTTTGGCGGCGGGTGGGCGGCGATGCGGGCGGTTTTCTTTTTACGTCGTTTGCGGTGTTAAATTTGTTTGCGGTTGGCGACCGCTTTTTCGTTTATTCTTTTGCGGTGTTTGCATTTGGCGGCGGGCGGGAGTTTTCGGTTGGCGTTTTCGGTTGGCGGTTAGCGGGCGCGCGATGCGGGCGGTTTTATTTTTGCGGCGGTTTTATGTTTCTTTTTGCGGTTTGCGTCGGGCGGGCGATTGTTTATTTTTTGCGACATTTGCGTTGGCGTTTCGGGCGTGCGTTTTGCGCGTTTTGCGGTGTTTGCGTTTTGCGGCGGGCTGGCGTTTTTCACAATTCAAAGTCCAAATTTTCGGGCAACAGCGCTCCTCGAAAAGCGCTGCGTCGAGTATTCAGCTGAAAACATATTTTATAAATGTGAACTTCGCCTTCTTGTGCAGGCCTCCAATGGCCAAATGGATGACATGCATCGCTGGGAGGTAAGCACGGGAGTGAGCGCTAAGGCCAGAATGTACCAGTTCTTGTACAGTGAAGTATGCTGTGTGTGTCGGTTGTGTTTCAACTATACCTACCCATGTTTGTTTGTCTTTTCACCAGTTACTTTTGCCATTCTCGAAAACATTGCCATTCTCAGGAAATCGGGACTGGAAAAATTGTTCAAATTTCAAACCGACACTAAATAGTGAGCAACGGGAACGTGGGCTTGTATATAAAGTTTGTGCCATGCACAAATGGTTTATTCTAAGTTTTTTTTTTTTTTTTGATGTAGTTAAAGCTCACTTCCACAGCTCCCTTGGCGGAGTGGTGGTCCGATCACACCGAGTTGTTTCTAGGTGGTTGCCAAAAGCCTTAGGAAATGTTTTTACGCCTCCAGCCATGGCGTGGGTTAAGGTTTTCAATAGCCTTCATAAAAGCGGCAGTTGTAAAAAAACTCATTCCTTGATGACCCCATGTATCAGCTGAAGGGGAAACGTTCCCTGCAGAAAGCAGGAATGACAGAGGCATACAGATGTGCGGATCCTTCATGCCTGTGTTCTTAATGTACACAGTTCCCACCTGTACATGAACATGCGGAAAGATTCAAATATATCTGTGATGTTTTGTATGCTCTGAGATGCCTCCGCCACGTTCATTATACATATATAAGAGACGGAATATTTTATTATTCAAACAGCACCCATATAAATACAATGAGCATCACTGCGGCCATTTGTAGCTGACTTCCACGCAAAGTCACGACCGTGCCGTTCCGACACTGACTGTAGTCAACTTTACATGGCTTTGTTCGATGCGAAGCACTCGCCATGACATCGCCGTGTTGCTTAGTTGTAGGCGGGCTGGTAGGCGGGCTGATATGCGGACTGGGGCTCAACGTAGGCGGGCTGGTACGCGGGCTGGGGCTCGACGTAGGCGGGGTCAACAGCAGGGGTCGGGTACTGGGTGGGCACCGGCGTCGGCAGGATGTCACTGGACGGCTGGTAGCCGTTCTTGTCGGCGACAAATGTCACCTTGATGGGATTGCCGTATCCGTCGGAGTAGCTCCAGGAGCCCTCCTGGCGGTAGCTGCCCTCCGGCTGTCCGTAGGCGTTCTTGCCGTAGCCGGGCAGAGGCACGCCGCTCTCAGACCTGGCAATGGTTTCATTGTGTCAATTACATTGCTTTTTTATTTAAGTGGCTGACAATTTATTCAGTTCATTAATTGATAAGAGCATATTTTCGAATTTATTCTGACCCAAATTTCGAGATCTATCATTTCTCACCTGTAGATGCCGTTCTCGGTGCTGAAGTGGAAGTTGTAGGATCCATCTCCGGGGTGGACGCTCTTCTCCTCAAGGATAGCGATGGGCTTGTAGCTGGGCTGGGCGGTGTATGTCGGGGCAGAGTAGGTGGGGGCAGAGTATGTCGGGGCAGAGTATGTCGGGGCAGCGTAGGTCGGGGCAGAGTAGGTCGGGGCAGAGTAGGCAGGTCGGGGCCTGTAGGAAGACTGGGGCCGGTCGGCAGCAGCCACCAGGGCCAGAGCAGCGACGATGAACTGAAAAACAGAGTTTCATTAAGAAGAAGAATAAATAACAGCGATACCCCTGATTTTTCGTGCGCAATAGGTTGTATTTTTAGAGCAAATAGCCTACATGCTTGAAAGTTAATGTTCTTAGAGTCCCACATGTCCACTACACAGCTGAACTATCGGTGGCGCACTGGCCAGATGCGTCTCAGTATGTTAGTTACTACTCACGATATTCATGTTGATCGGATTGATGTGTGTCACGACTGATGCTGTAGACCGGCGAGTGTGGTGATTATATAGTCGTCCCTGTCCTCGCTGAACATCGCCCATCTTTAACGTCCCATTGTCTTCAATCTGGTTACTGCAAAACAGGTTTAGCGCAATTGATAGAAATGACGATTTTGTTCGCTCTCTCACTGGTTAACCGTCTTAGTGAATATTGTTCCGAATTTTGGAATTATTAAAACATATCAAGACAAAAAGGTGTATGAAGCAAACAGTAATTGCAGCTTGAATAATCTCACAGTTGGTTTTGCATCTCTCAACTGTGATTGTAATGTGTATGTCCCGTGACTCAGTCGATAGGGCGTTGGACTTCCGGTAGCGAGAGCCCGGGTTCGAGACGCTCCGGCGCTAGATTGTGAAAATTCTGACGTGGATGGTCTGCAGTTGGTGGGAGCAGCCGCAACCAGTTGAAGTCAGTTGAGTGGAACGGATCGTGTCCGGCCTTGACGAGCACGCTAAACTTTGGCATCCGGATTCTCCCGTTATTCGGCATTGCGCACGATTGGAAGGATAGGGGTTGGCACCTGCGCTAGAAGCTCTGGTTAACGTGGATCCGACTCTGTCAATCCGTCCATTCAAAGATTAGAGCTTTTTTATTGAATAGCCCGCTCGACGAGAACATAATTGCTTTTTTAGTTAAATGATTCCGGTTTTTGCTTGCTATGATACCATTTCGAGATGAGTAACATGATACCTTGTTGATGTCGAGATACAATGCGAGCAGTTGTTTATTGGCAGCTTATGGCTACTGTTAGTTTGTTACTGTTTGTTACTGACCGCTGTCCGATACTGACACGCTACTTACTCATCTCATGCGAAGTGATATTACTTGCCATAGATAACACGAAATATGATCCATGCATCTCATTCATGGTCGGGTTGTAGGTGAAAGGGCATTTTCCGTGCGGAGACGCCCATATATTTTGTATTTGTTGCTGCTAACAATAATTTGTGTGTCCTCCGAATTTTCATTAGCCTAAATTGTTAAAAGAAAAAATGGAGTATATTAAGGGCGCAGCGATGAGCCCCGGGAAACGCCGATGCTATTTGTAGCGAAATGGAGGTTTTAACTCTGTCCCTTCCATCATTCATTATTTCATCGTTTCAAGGATCATTAAAATACCTAAATATGATGTATACATAATACAGTACACTAAGAATAAGGTACACATGTATTCACTGACTCGGACACACAACACTCACAAATAAATACAAAGATCACCACTCACGCTCAGTTGTCACCAGTTATGGCTGAGGTGTTGCTCGCACAGCGAGACGATCTCTAACCGTTTCACCGAAACTGAGGTGGGCGGCTGTCGATCGGCTGGGGCCACACTGCACACACGAGACACATCTCGATTGAGGTGTGGATGACTTAGTTGTAGGCAGGCTGGTAGGCGGGCCTGCCGTAGGCAGGCTCGATGTAGGAGGGGTCCACCTCGGGGGTCGGGTACTGGGTGGGCACCGGCGTCGGTAGGATGTCGCTGGACGGCTGGTAGCCGTTCTCGTCGGCGACAAATGTCACCTTGACGGGGTTGCCGTATCCGTCGGTGTAGCTCCAGGAGCCCTCCTGGCGGTAGCTGCCCTCGGGCTGTCCGTAGGCGTTCTTGCCGTAGCCGGGCAGAGGCACGCCGTTCTCAGACCTGTACGGTAGAGAAAAACCTTAGTACTGCATGGCTAACTGGGTGACTTGGGTTATGGAAACATTTATACCACGCCAGAGCAACGTGGCCGCCAATTTGTACCTAAATGTAAGCATATCCAGTACCTACTGACCTGTAGATGCCGTTCTCGGTGCTGAAGTGGAAGTTGTAGGTGCCATCTCCGGGGTGGACGCTCTCCTCCTCGAGGATGGCGATGGGCTTGTAGCTGCCGTGAGCCGGGGCCGGGTAGGCGGGCCGGGGGCCGTAGGCCGGGGTCGGGTACGCCGGCCGGTCGGCGGCGGCCACCAGCGCCAGAGCGGCAATGATGAACTGAAAGAAAACGTTTATGTTTCTGAATGCTTCGCTGCACTCACCCTATGAACGGCACAAAGCGTAGTGTCAAGTGAATCCTACATACCAGCAAGTTCCTTACAAGATCTTAGATCCTTACAAAGAAGAATTAACAATAGGATAACGTTAGATCGGTTTCACACAGTCTGGGTAACTCACGGCCTTCATGTTGTGAGTGCGACAGTTGCTGGGAGAACTGGTGCCATGAGAGGTGGCTGCTGACGTTATATAGTCGGGTGCGGTCCGGTGCTCCGGCCACACCCAGTGCTGCACCGCGGCCCTGACCGATACTGCCGACTCACACCAGCAGTAACAGGACCGCTACTGATCTGATCATGTGCTGTACCTACTAATCACCCAATCCACGACGAGCCTGAGGCTCATCACTGCATTGACCGCTCTTTCAAACCTGATCTGTTTTCGAATCTCCCGTTGCATGTCCTTAGGCAACCTCAGAATTGGATATGAAGGAAGCTCTGAAATATTAGGCGTGAGACACCACATGTAAGCTTGTACAATCATGTAAGCAATAAGCATGTTCAAAACAATAATCGTTGATTCTCAATTGTTCTACATTGTGACATTTAGGTATAAGGAAAGTTGAACAAAATTGATATGGTTGGTGATGCGTTTCGTACTTGATGGCTATTGACTTTGCATTGCTAATTTGCAATCCTTTCATTCAACGTCTTTCGACCATGCCTTTGGCAATTGGCTCTTCAAGTACAGAAAAACAAAGTGCTAAAAGATACAAACAAGCTGACCGTCCACATTTCCTTCAGCGCTGTGTTAGGTGCCTCATAAGAATGATCACACTTGTTTTGTGTACTATGCGGGTGTGGTGAACCACGGGCCACATAGGTTGGACTCGATTTTCAGTAAACGACACCTCCTCAGCTCACACAGTTATTTGTTATGAATAAGGACCGTGGCGTCCAGAGGCAGCTCGCAGAGGGGAGGGCGTTGCTGTCACATCTTAAACGCAATCTTTTAAACCCATTGGCTTACATTTCAAAGTGACTGATTGAGTGGTCAAGAATAAGCACTGTCGATCTAAAACCGTTAGGCTAAAACCATGTCTCCCACTACGACTCCGCTCATCTGGTTGTCCTAATTAGAGCGAGTATTCAGTGGGCACTTATGATGATATGCAGAGCGTCTTGCCTAATCGTCGGTTGCTGGCTAATCCTTTGAGTGACCGAACGATCGACTATCAGCGCGACTAATCTCAGTGCCGGCGGGCCACCTGTGACGCAGCAGACACCCCCACCCAGTTGCCTCACTGACACGACGGACGGCCAGGGCAGCAGCCAGCAGGGCTGGTCCAGTTTCGCCAGGTCAGGGAGGGGTCCGACGGGTCATCCTCGGCTGCAGCTGGGCCGTGGTCCGCCCCTGCCCGCCGGCTGGGTCACCGGCTGCTGACGGGGTGGGGCGATCGGCCCGCGCTCTGAACGGAGAGGCAGGGGTCGCCGCTGCTCTCCAGACTCTGGACGGAAGGTCGAGCGGGCCGGAAGGACGGGTGGGGCTGCTGCTGCTGCGCGGCCGGCAGCCTTGACTGAGTGGCGCGCCGGGCGGCGTCCGACCGTCCGGTTCCGAGCGATGGACAAGGACTCGCTGTCGGCAAGGAAACGGCCGGCTCGTGCCGGCGCGCAGCGGTGCCGGCCGGCCGCGCCCGGCCCGCCCACCGCCCGGCCAGTGACGGAACGATGACTCAACTCGTCAGCCCGTCAGACGGCCGCCAGACAATGGGCGCGCGGCGAATGGCTCCGATAGCCCTTCATCGGAATGGCGCTGTCAACCGATGTGAAGATTTCCCTGCGCTCTGAGAATCATTAGTCGTGGCTACTGGCTACATGCCAAGCGATTGCACACACATTTTTTATTCGTGCTGAAATTTCATTTGTGGTGACGGTGTAACTAGATGAGGACATATGAGGCGTCGGTGCAACTTGTCATCAGTTTTTCATTCTTTGATGAGTTTATGCTTAGATCATATAGCTCCAATAACGGTCTACGGAAGAATCGATCGCCTTACAATAAAGTACCGATTCAATTTCGGGTGAACCTCGTTCTGATTGACTCTGTGGGTTTCATTGAACTTTCGCTCCCGGGAGTGTATGCCTTCTCTCCATGCTATTTTGGATTATCCCACGTACTGCAGTCAGCCGAGCGGCGATGCCGTAACATGTCGTGATCCCGCGCCGTCTGCACGCGCCGCTGGCGCTGTTTCACGGGACGGTGACTCACGGGTGGTCGCGCGCTGGACGGGCCCTCCGGAGCCGCCCCTCCGCCGATGAGCGTTTCTCACCCACTAATAGCCCAGATAAGTGGCCGAGATGGGCGTGACAGTGGGCCGCGGCGGCGAGACCGATGAACGGCGGCTGGTGGCTGGCGGCGACCCGCGAGATGTTACATCAGCGCCGAGCTGAGCTGGCCGCGGGTCAGCGGGGCCCCCCGACCCGACCTTGGCTGACGGAGCGCGGTCGCGGCGCGCCCGGCGGGGTGCGGGCCATGCCCTGGCGTGGCCGGCCGGCCGCAGTGCCTGCAGGCTGCAGCGCGTCAATGGCGGCAAGGCCGGGCCGGTGTCTGCCGCCGCCGCCCCGGCCGCCGGCGGTCCTTCCCACGTGCCGGCCGCCTGGCTCGGCTGTGGGAGCTCGAGTCGCGGGCTGCGGGCCGCTTGGCTCAGCTGCAGGGTTGTATACGACTCAATCAATAGCAATCAATTCAATCACGACAGATTTGGGAAACCAATCAAATCAATCAAGTCAGAGCAGTTTTCGGGAATTGATTCAATCGACTCAAACGCGACAATGAAAGGAATCAATCAACTCAATCAAACGACTCAAACCAAGATAAACATTAGGTTTTTTGCCCCACCAACTTGGAAAAGTGTCCATAGCAGTCTGGTGTACCTACCTACCCACCTACCTACCTACAGAAGAAACATAAAAATATTGTCATTTAAAATTATAAATTGCCATGCCATTCAAAGTTTCTATGTAATAAGGAAGGATACCTAGTGATGGACAGGTGGATCATGATATTGAGGTTCAATGGGTAGAATTGTAGCAGAAGATTCATTTAATGGGTGCAAAATAACCCAGTAATTGACTCGCCCCTTAACCCAAATCACCAACTTTCACCTAAAAGTTGTCAATTTAATTTTGGCCATATTCCAACTCAATTTACACTAAATATCAGATATTGCAGTTGAAAGTTGGCTGCTCGGATTTTGGCAGTGTTCGTGATTTGGCCATTAACCCTACACCATGTCTATTTTAATGGATAATAATAATATGCATCAATAACATATTAACCATAGGGAAATAGAAATAAATATCTTACCTGCATGTGACGGTTTCGGTTAGACAGAGACTGACGGGCAGCCTGAAAAATCTTTCCACACAATGTGCATTTGAGACGTGGGATGTTGTTTGGGAAGGAAGAGATTTGAAGTATTTAGCGGTCCACGACTCTGGACGTGGCATGTCAATGTTAGGTACCTATGTGAAGAATTCAAAACATTTTATTGCAATACAATTTGAAACTGTTAGGACTGGGGGATAGGGATGAGGATTAAAAATATATTTAAAAGGAAACGGAGAGGACAGGGACTCTGGAACCACAGGATAAGTTAAGGACAAAGGAAGTAGGAACAAGGAAAATTAAAACGCGAAAACGGCTGACAGTGCGACTGCGAATCAAAGAAAACGTTTTGCCAATAAGTATGCTAAGCTTTTATAAATCCTTATTCTACGTCTTTTGATTTTTTGGTAAGATGACGTCATTGATTATCATGTAGTATGGTAGATCATCATAAAATAAATCGGCTGTACAACACCAATTTCGTTTTAATTATTAGGTATTTCATTTAAAACCACTTAATAATATTCGGTAAAATATTTTAAGGAAAATGAAATATATTGAATATGCTATGCATAGGCTCTCAGGAGAAAAGGATCAACAAACGTTCTACTGCATATTAAACAATGCAGCAAATTAGCTATTAATTAGGTACGCAAATGTAATTAGCGAGACGAAAACGGCGCTTTTGTTTCAGTTATTTTTGTAGGGGTTTCAGATATTTATGAGTTCAGTGGGTTGTTTCTGAGGAGATGTGGAGACGTGAATTATTAATTAATCACACTTTATTAGTATATAGGGCCTTGCACTTTATCATCTGGATTTAAAAAAAAAAAAGTTTCCTGCTGAGTGCAGAAAGGTAGGTAGGTGCATCGCCAGGTTCTATCACCAGGATTGGAGCAGTTATTGCAGTTGAAAGTCAAAGTTGGCTGTTCATGTTTAGGCCCTGTTCTTTATTTGGCCCTCTACCCCATATTGCAGTTGTGATGACAAGCAGTTTTCAGTGTAGTTTTGTGATCTTTGATGTCATCAATTGGTGTCATTATTTTTCGTTAACTAAAACTTATTTGAACCTTCCATTCAATCGACTCAATCATACAAGTCACTCTAATTTTCGGGAATCAAATCAGTCAACCAGTCGCTGAAGTAAAACGAGTCAGTCAACCAGTCATCTCGAAAAGTCAATCGACTCAATCCAATCAACTCAAAATACGCGTTGAAACAAATCAATCAATTCAATCGACTTGATTGGTATACAACCCTGCTCAGCTGTGGGAGCTCGTGGCGGCCCGCAGCTGACCGCTGACCGCTGACCGCTGACCGCTGACCGCTGACCGCTGGCTGCTGACCGCTGGCCTCTCCCGTGTCGGCCCGGTGTCAGACGCCGACCGCGACCCTCCAGCGGACATATCGGCGGCGACAGGCGGCCAGACGTGACCGTATTGTTGTAGCAGGACGACCTTGGCGGTCGGGTCGGCCTTTGGGTCAGGGATGCCGCCGCGCCGTGGCTCGGCTATCGCCAGTTACAACACTGCTCACCGCAGACAGACAGACAGCCCCCGCGGCACTGCGCAGGCTGCTGCGCAAAAACCGGCCCGCCCAACCAACACCATATAATCATATCATACATGGTGACTTAGATATTCAAAAAGAGAATCTACAACATGTTTCAGATGTTCGTAGATGTTTGATTTGCTAAGCACGTATGTACGAGTAGAAATGTTGAAGGGACTTGTGTCCTTTAGCCCTAGCCTGCCGCCTGGCACAGGTCTCGCGGGTTTTAGCGGTAGGTTTTGCACCTAGAAAATTTAATGTACTTCAGGCTATATCTTCGTCGTCTTAAGCTTTTAAGTGTTGACTGCGATTGACTTGTTGGCTCACAAGCCGGCCATGATCGTGTAAAATGGCTTCATCGTAGATCGATTAGTTTCTGAGATATAACCGGAAATGTATAAGTGCAAAACCCTCGCAAGAGCCGTACTTACAGCTCCTTTGGTTTCTGTGTCTGGCGTCCAATAGCTCTAATAGGTCGGAACATATTTTCTGGACGAAACTGAAAGTATCTGATATGATGGATGCTTCATACCTATTTCATATCATCATTGTGGTGTTGATAACTAAAGTCATCAAATTAACCCGCGCCCTGCTGGGGGGGGGGGTGTTTGAACACCCCCCCTTGTGGTTTTTCGCGAATATCTCAAAAACGGCGGCGCGGAGCGCCGCCGTTTTTGGTACACCTTATCATACATCAATTCTACACATGTTGTGAAAATTTCAGACCAAGGTCATTCAAGGTCAGGTCACCAGGTCACTTGAAGTGACCTCACCTCATAAAAAGTTTCAATGTCTGTCATAGCTACACCGAGTGACCGATCGCTTTGAAACTTTCAGCGATTGCTAAGAGCAATAGCATGTACAAAATGTATATCTCAGAATTTTGATACCGATGACCTAAGGTCAGGTCAATTTTGCGACCTCCCCATTATAAGTCAATGGGAGAAAATTGAAATGCGCCTCTTTTGGACGTAAGACATTATAAACACTCCCAAACACTGAATTACAAGTGGGTTAGACACACTGAACATGAAAATGGTGTCCGTGACCCCTGTTTATGCCCTGAGGTCATTGTTAATGGCGCCCGCGGTCCGCATTGAATCCCTCACCCTTCCTTTGATGCCACACGTCAGCAGCTCTAGCTGAGTCGGACTTGCACCTCTAGCTGAGTCGGGCGAGTGCCGATGTGGCAGCTGGCCGCGGTCACGTGACCGAGCGTGACCCTTGTGCGGGCCGAGTAGAGGGCGTTGTTTTGTGCCCGGTGTGCTGAGGGGCGGACGTGTGAGCTGGAGCTGCGCGAAATGTAAGTGGATTCTGTATTTGAATTATACTTTGTTCTTTCTTGATATTGCTATAAACATGCTGATCGATTCATTAACGTAATATAGTTGTTTGTTCGAGTTTGATTTATGTACGTGTTTACTTTCGCTAGGCAGAGTGAGCACCGCGGAGTCGGGCTGCTCGTGAGTCCGGGGATGTTTGGCGGCCGAGCTGTGGCTGTGGGTTCCCCCGTGACGGACCGTGTGGACGGAGCGATCTTCGTGATGAGATCGACTTGTTGAGCGCCGGAGACGTGAACAGCCGGTATGTTTAACGTTGCGTCTGATTTACTGTACGAAATTGCCCGAATTGTTAAGTGTTAATTAATCGAGTAAATGATAGCGCTAATAGTAACTTTGGTTCTAGAATTGCAGCAATATTTATTTCATGTTATGTTCAATGCACGGCTCACAATATGTCGTTTTGTTCGGACATGTCGATTGTGGACGTGATTGTGTACTGACCGGTGCATTGTCTGTGTGTTTGTGTCCGGGCAGTAACGGACAGTTTCGGACTGCCTCGAGAGCTGCAGACGAATAGAGGTCCAGTTGACGGCACAGCGTTTTTGACTACGAGGGCGCTCGGTTTGGCCCACGGCTGAGGCCGTGGCGGCTACAGTTACGGCTGAGTCTTCATCAGCCACGCCCGTCTGCGTCCGTCGGCTTCTCTGCTGCGCTGCGGTTGAGGACACCAGCCCGCGGCCGAGTGAGACTGTCTCCGATCGTGGGTGAGTGATTCTGGCAACGTGCCAGGTCGGAAGGACGATAGAAGCCGGGTGGCCTGTCGCCTCTGGTGACTGTGCGCGGTGGCTGCGAGCACTAGCCCGAGGCTACAGTGGCTCGTGCCCGGGGCTACAGGTGATTGTGCTTCACTGTGTTTGGGGCGCCAGGGAGTAGGGGTCGGTCAGCTCCGCCGTGAGCAGTTGGGCTGTTGATAAGCGATGGACGCCGGGTCTGGGGTGGTGTGTATTGTGTGTGCACTACGCTAGTAATATCGTTAGTGTTTAAGTAGTAGTATTAGTGTTTAAGGTGTGTGTTTATTTATTTGTGATTGCACAGGTTGTGTTATGCGGAGTAGGTGTTTAGAATAGCTGATGTGGCTTAATCCTGGATCCTTGTTCGTAATTCTCCTCATCTTTTTGTCCTCTGCTTTCACAATGGCACCTACCAGGGAAGATTTGAACAGGCTAAAACTGACCGAGTTACAGAGAGAGCTAGAGTCTAGGGGACTTGATATCACAGGTAAGAAGAACGAGTTAGTGGATAGGCTGTTTGAGGCACTGATAGAATCAGAGACGCCCCCTCCAGCGCAGAAGGAAAGTCCTCAAATGCCCCTTGTGGCACCCGAGTCGGGATCTGCGGTTCCTGATGCTTCCCTACTCTTAGCTCGTTTAAGAATTATCCAGGAGAGACAGCTGGTTGAGCAGGAGAGGATTTCAGTTAGGGCAAAGGCAGAGCAGGATGATTCGAGACTTCAGGCTCGATCGGAGCAGTTGCAGATAGAGTTGCAACTTGCTGAAGTGGGTCACTATGACGAAGCTGCCCTTGAGCCCCTGAGGGTTTCTACAGCTAGTCAGGCTCCGCAGTCAGAGTCCGCGAGTGCACTGTCCTCGCAGGTGAGGCGTGCTCTGCTCCCTCCCACGGAGCTACGTCCATTCACAGGTAACGTGGAAGATTTTCGTTTATTTATGAGCGCCTTCGAGGCTCGTGTTGCCAGTAAGACTGATGATCAGGAGGAACTTTTATTTTATTTGGAACAGTTCACTAGCGGGAAACCGAACCAGCTGGTGAGGAGCTGTCTTCATCTGGGTGCTGCTGGATTCGTTGAGGCCAAGCAGTTACTCGAGACGCGGTACGGTAACACAATATGTTTAGTTGACTCATACGTTGAGAAGGTAAAGGGGTGGTCTCGGATCCTACCCGGAGATGTAGAATCACTGGACAAGTTTGTTCTGTTTCTGACGGAGGTAAAGAACGCCGTATCTGGCGTAGCTTTGAGTGAATTCGAACATCCATCAACTCTCCGCCTGATAGTTTCTAAAGTTCCTCCTCACCTGCAGGATCGGTGGCTTAGAGAAGTAGACCGCCTATGCCAGGAGGGGCGCGCTGTCAGGTTTTCCGATTTAGTTAAGTTTTTGGCCGCTGAGGTTCGGGTCAAGAAGAATCCGCTTTTTGGCCTTCGTTCTGCCAATGCTGACCGCCGGCCGGAGGCTCCTGGTGGACCTCGGAGGCACACGGTCAATGTGGCGCACGTGACAGCGCCGGGGGATCAGCGCTGCGTCTACTGTGGCGGTCCCCACAGTGTGGCGGACTGTGAGGTGCTGAGGATGAGGCCGTGGGTCGAGCGGCGAAAGGTCTTTATGCAGCATAAGTTATGTTTTGGGTGCCTAAAGGTGGGGCACCAGGTTCGGTCCTGCCGGCGGCCGCTGGTCTGCGGCGTCTGTGGCGGGCTCCATCCCTCTGTCATGCATGGCGAACCGGGCGGGGGACCGGCACCACCTTGGGTTTCAGGCTCTCGGCCGGATCAGTGGCATCAGCGGCCGAGTCCTCGCGGTAGTACGTCTCAGAGGATGCAGCCAGGTGACATGATTCCGCCCGGCGGAGTCGGGACAGCGGTGGTTCCGCACCGCGGCGGCGCGGGTCCGCCCATGAGTGCGCCGGTGGCGCCGCCTGCTGGTGCGGCGGTGGCGACACCTGTTGGTACGGCGATGGCGCAGTCCGCCGCGGCGGCGGGGTCTGCATCGCGCGGTGGATCCGCAGGCGCTGTTGTAAGTGCAAGCCTTGGACTGCAGGGTGTAGGTCGCACGGCCCTCCCTGTAGTTGCGGTGCGGCTTCGTGCTCCAACAGGCAAAGTGATCGTGACGAATGGTTTTTTTGATCAAGGGTCGTCGGGAAGCTTCCTGACTGAGCGACTCGCAGAGCGTTTGGGAGTGCAAACTGAGCGCACGACCATCTCTATCGAGACCGTGGGTAACGATAGGAGGAGCATGTCCACTTCGATAGCTCCAGGGTTAGAAGTAAGCGCTCTAAACGGCGGTGAGTTTCACCCTCTACCGCCACTATTGACTATTGAAGCGCTTCCGGTCACCCAGGCCGACCGATGTCAGGGAAGTGAGCTAAAGGCTGCGTCCCACCTGGACGGTGTAGAGCTTCACGAGCTGGATGTACCGGTGGAAGTTCTGATCGGTTCTAACTGTGCCGAACTGATTGTGGCGAGAGAGGTTCGTTCTCCTCCCCAGGGCGAGACTGGTCTGTGTGCTGTGCGAACTGTACTGGGCTGGTATGTGATGGGACCGGTCCGGGAAGCCACCGGTTCGGGAGAGAGGTTCACGGTGAACTTTCTGAGGGTGCAGGAGATGTCTGTTTCTGACCATGACGCTGAGGATAGTTTGTACAGGAAGATGTATGATAATGACTTCAAGGATTTGTCTGACGATCGTGAGTGCTTCTCTGTGGAAGATCACGAGTGGCTCGCTGATGTTCTGCCCCGAGTGAGGAGAGATGATGATGGATTTTTTGAGGTTCCTCTCCCTAAGAGGGATTTCGGTGCGCTGCCTGACAGCATGCCGGTGGCGTCAAAGCGTTTGGACTCACTGAGGAAGCGTTTCAATGCAGACCCAGAGTACTTTGACGCGTACAGACGTGTCATTTCCTCACTGGCGGAGGATGGATACGCAGTTCTGGTGCCAGAGGGAGATAATGGGGGTCATCCGATCTGGTATCTCCCTCATCACGGCGTCTTTGAACCGGAAAAAGGTAAACTGCGTGTGGTGTTTGACTGCGCGGCCAAGAGTCGTGGGGTCTGCTTGAATGACCTGTTGAAGAAGGGACCGGTGCTGTCAAACTCCCTCTTGGGAGTACTTTGTCGTTTCCGTGAAGGAACGGTCGCATTCACATGCGACATCCAGTCAATGTTCCATAGAGTCCATGTGCCCATCTGTGACTCTGACCTACTGAGGTTTCTGTGGTTTAAAGACGACAATCCTGACGGTGAGGTAGTCGTGTGGAAAATGAGGTCTCATGTTTTCGGAGCCCTGTCCAGCAGCAGTGTGGCCAGCCTGGCACTGACCTGCTGCGCTGAGGAGGGTCGGCTGCGGCATCCTGAGGCCGCCGACGCTCTGCTTCGGAAAACATATGTCGATGATACCCTTTGTTCCACAAATTCTGTCGAAAGCGCAGTTCAGCTAGCGCGTGACCTGAAAGACTTGTGCAAAAACGGAGCGTTCAACTTGACAAAGTTCTCAAGCAACAGTTCTGAGTTTCTTAAGGAGATCCCTGTCGGTGACAGGGCAAAAAATGTGAAGACTTTAGACCTGGACAGGGACACTCTGGGTACCGAGCGTGCGTTAGGCCTGAAGTGGTCTATCGTAGACGACTCGTTCTGCTTCCAATTCTGCAACAAGCAGAAACCTGCGACAAGGCGCGGTCTGCTGTCGACAGTCAGCTCGGTGTTTGACCCGCTGGGAATTGTCTCTCCGGTGACTCTGTTGGGCCGAGTGCTGCTACAGAAACTGTGCCTGCTCTCCTGTGGCTGGGATGATCCGCTCCCTAGTCCGCTGGCGGAGGACTGGCAAGAATGGCTGGACCGAGCCAGCGAGCTTGACAATGTTCAGCTGAGGAGGTGCACCGTCGGCCCTCCCGGGAAGGTGTTGAACAGTCAGCTGCATGTGTTTGCTGATGCGAGTGAGACGGCATACTCCGCCGTGGGTTACCTGAGAAGAGAGATTCTTACCCCTGAGGGACAGGTCGAACGTTTTGTGACTTTTTTGATGGGAAAGGCACTAGTAAATCCCGTTCGTTTTGTGTCGGTGCCACGACTAGAGCTGGCTGCAGCGGTGCTGGCAGTTAAGGTGAGGAGACTGCTGGTGAGAGAGTTGGATGCCACATTTGATTCATTTCACATGTGGACCGACAGCACGGTGGTCCTGAGCTTCATCCGGAACCGAACCACACGGTTCAAGACGTATGTGGCGAACCGGCTCGCCTACATACATGATGGTTCAGAGGTGGCCGAGTGGGCGCACGTGCCATCCAAGTTGAACCCTGCCGATGTAGGTTCTCGTGGCTGTTATCCTTCAGGTCTGGGACCGTGGCTGAGGGGACCTGAGTTTTTGGATGGTGAGGCTGGTGGCTGGCCCTCAGACCCAGCTGTTCACGCTGAGATCCCTCCGATTGAGGTGAAGTCCGCTCCAGTGACAGTGGCTCTGGTGTCTGCCGGCACCGGACAGAAGGGTCCAACGGACGCTCTAATCAGTCATTTTTCGTCCTTTGACAGACTCAAACGGGCGGTGGCATGGTATCGGAGGTTCTTCTGTGTCATCCGGAATGGTTCATTTCGCAGGTGGTGCATGACCCGCCGAAGGGGGCTTCGGCGGCGTGACCACGTTGGTGAGGCCTCTCTGGTTGTGTCCGACCTGCATGAGGCAGAGCGTGCGATCTTGCGGCACGTCCAGCGGGAACTCCCCGAATTTCCTGGTAGAGACTGTGACGATGGTCCAACTGAAGTGAGTTCGAGTAGTCCTCTGAGAAAGTTACGGCCGACCATGCAGAGTGGTCTGCTGGTGGTTGGTGGTAGGCTGTCTCGATCTGATTGTGTCTCTGAGAGTGAGAAACACCCGGTGATTCTCCCCCGGGATAGTCACGTGACACGATTGGTGATCAGAGAGGCTCACCAGAGAGTTGGTCACGGGGGGAGAGACCACACTTTTTGGGACCTGAGACGTAAGTTTTGGGTCATTGGAGCGGGAACAGAGGTCCGGAGGTTGATCCGATCTTGTGTGGTGTGTAGACGGGTAAATGCCCGTCCCCAGCATCAACTGATGGCTGAGCTGCCTCGGGAGCGCGTCTCGGCAGACGCGCCGGCGTTCTCGTCGGTGATGCTGGATGTCTTCGGACCAGTGTTGGTCAAGACTGGACGGATTGAGCGAAAACGGTATGGACTTATGTGTGTCTGTACGATGACACGAGCTGTTCATGTGGAAATTCTGAGTTCATTGAGTTCTGATTCACTTATCAATGCCATTCGACGCATCAGTGCTCGAAGAGGCCAGATCACCCAAATCCGAAGTGATATGGGAACGAACTTGACTGGCGCCGATCGCGAACTCCGTGAGGCGCTGAGAGAGGTTCGCCAGAGTGATCTGCAGCGCGCAGCGCTGAAGCAGGGTATCGATTGGAGTTTCAACCCTCCCACTGCTTCTCACTACGCTGGTGGTGTCGAAAGACAGATCCGGACGTTTCGTAAAATCTGGCGATCTATGCCTACTCAGCGCGTGGATGACGAAACGCTCAGTACCTTGTTCTGTGAAATCGAGTCGATCATGAACAGTCGCCCGTTGACATACGTGTCGACGGCCTCGGGTCAGGTGGAACCCCTGACGCCGGGTCACCTGTTATTCCTGAGGGGTTGCGTCGGACCCATTCCTGGTGAGTTTTCTGAGGCCGACTCACTGCCGCGCCGCCGATGGCGTCATGTACAGTATTTGGCTCAGGAGTTCTGGCACCGCTGGAAGCGGGAGTATTTGTTATCACTGCAGACGCGACAGAAGTGGACGCGTACTGCCACGAACCTGGGACCGGGTGATATTGTTTTGTTAGTAGATCAAGATGTACCTAGAGGTAAGTGGAGGATGGGAAAGATAGTTAAAGTTTTTCCCAGCCGGGACGGGCTGGTTCGAAAGGCTCTGGTCAAAACGTCTACGTCGGAATACCTGAGGCCAATCCATAAGATGGTCCTGATCAGCACGGAGTCTGATCTGCGGTAGACGTGCAGTGTCCGCGTCCCATTGTGGGTATTGGTTTGAACGGACCTGCAGCTGTAGTGTACGATATGTAGGCAAACATCAGGTGAGTGACTTATGTAGAATTCGTGTAGTTAAGTTTTAGTGGGTAAGTGCAGTGTCCCAACGGGATAATTGTTAATTGTTTGCTAGTTGTTAGATAAGTAAGGCCGTCAGGATGTTGTTTTGAACTGATGCAGCTGTTAGCTCGTTAAGTCCGTAAACCACTGATGGTGATTTGACTTTGATCGGGCGCCGTGTTCTGTTAGTTCGGCCGCCCTTGCTCCGGTCGTCCGAAGGGGGGAGTGTTAATGGCGCCCGCGGTCCGCATTGAATCCCTCACCCTTCCTTTGATGCCACACGTCAGCAGCTCTAGCTGAGTCGGACTTGCACCTCTAGCTGAGTCGGGCGAGTGCCGATGTGGCAGCTGGCCGCGGTCACGTGACCGAGCGTGACCCTTGTGCGGGCCGAGTAGAGGGCGTTGTTTTGTGCCCGGTGTGCTGAGGGGCGGACGTGTGAGCTGGAGCTGCGCGAAATGTAAGTGGATTCTGTATTTGAATTATACTTTGTTCTTTCTTGATATTGCTATAAACATGCTGATCGATTCATTAACGTAATATAGTTGTTTGTTCGAGTTTGATTTATGTACGTGTTTACTTTCGCTAGGCAGAGTGAGCACCGCGGAGTCGGGCTGCTCGTGAGTCCGGGGATGTTTGGCGGCCGAGCTGTGGCTGTGGGTTCCCCCGTGACGGACCGTGTGGACGGAGCGATCTTCGTGATGAGATCGACTTGTTGAGCGCCGGAGACGTGAACAGCCGGTATGTTTAACGTTGCGTCTGATTTACTGTACGAAATTGCCCGAATTGTTAAGTGTTAATTAATCGAGTAAATGATAGCGCTAATAGTAACTTTGGTTCTAGAATTGCAGCAATATTTATTTCATGTTATGTTCAATGCACGGCTCACAATATGTCGTTTTGTTCGGACATGTCGATTGTGGACGTGATTGTGTACTGACCGGTGCATTGTCTGTGTGTTTGTGTCCGGGCAGTAACGGACAGTTTCGGACTGCCTCGAGAGCTGCAGACGAATAGAGGTCCAGTTGACGGCACAGCGTTTTTGACTACGAGGGCGCTCGGTTTGGCCCACGGCTGAGGCCGTGGCGGCTACAGTCATCTTAGGTCACGAATGGTATCTAACAGTTTTTCGCAAATAACTTTTGATAGAGGCATGCTAGAGCGATGAAAACGCCTTAGATGTGTTCAGCTCGACGATACGGATCGACTGATATGCAACATGACCCTTTCCGGTCAGGTCATGACCTTGACCTGAGGTCAAATTTTCAAGTTGACCTTTCAAGGTCAAGTTATAGTTCATTCGATGCGTCTTGACGAGAGGAACACGATGCCGGTAAAAGTAAGCTCGTACAAGGCTTGAATCAAAAGTTATTGCAGAAAAACTGTTGCCGAAAAAATCGGCTATTTATGCAGTTTTTGCCCCCTGCAGGCAAAACCGTTGACGTTAGGTCAAATCTGAGAAAATTACTCAGAAAGGGCGTTAATAGGGCTATCGAATGCGCTTTTCCGCGGCGCTGTAGCTCTATTGGTTCCCGAGTTATGCGTTGGCTTCTTGGAAATTGTCGACATTCGACCTGGAAATCGGCGAAATTTTGCCTTCAATGACCTCTGGTGACCTGACCTTTGACCTGACCAAAAAATTGACCGAAGTGATTTCCTCATTATTTTTTACGCTCTTTCGAACGCCGCCTTCCGCGTATCGCTACGTGGCCCAGGAGCCGAGTTAGAAGGGGGGGTGTTCAAACACCCCCCCCCCCCCAGCAGGGCGTGGAAATCCAGGACCCCCAGCAGGGCGCGGGTTTAATAAAATCTATTGTTAACAAAATGGTTAGCGTAGGTTGATTTTCTTGCGCAGCGTATGCTAACAAATGACTATGGAAGTTTTGAGTCTACTCTGACATGAGCTCATCGTTTTTTGACTTTTATGGATGCAGTGGATGGTGAATAAGATATTCGGACCGCTCTTTTATCATTGAAGTGTCGCCAGTTCATCCGTCCATGGAAATGTTACGCAAGTCATGAGCGCATTTCAGAACCAGTGTGTTCATGCCAGTGCTCTGTGTTCAACGTTTTGGTGGCATATCTGTTGTTTGGGACTTGGGGAATAAATTAATGCTAATAGATTAACAGTAGGTGTCTAAGTTGATATTTTGTTGGCCATTAGGTTACAGCATGTTACAACCAGTTCCTAGCGTTGTGTGATAAGATCATCTGGTCTTTCCATATTTACGTCCACCAGGATATCACCTTGCTTACCTGCTTGGCAGTAGCGTATCGCCTTCTGCCCTTCTCCTACGTTATCATTCTCCACGTCCATTCCCTCAGGTGATTGCACCTACCGCACCGCTAACCGCCCCTCTCTGACCGTCTGTTGCAGTACCTGCTGAACCCGCGCCAGGTGTACAACCTGACCAAGGGCGGACCGATGCAGGGCCTGCAGCTCTTCAAGGACGTGCCTGACCTGCGAGTCATCTGCTGCGGCGGCGACGGCACCATCGGCTGGATCTTGGACTCGATGGGTACGTCCCTGTCTCTGTCAGCCCCTCTCTTGGGGTGACCTCAGCTGGCACACCGGTCCAATATCGCATCTGACCGCGCCCCTCAGTTCAAATGGGCGCCCGTTCCGCCCCCGCAGCTGCTCCACTGGCGACACGCTGCAGCCTGTCACCCATTACTCGCCCCTTCTCCCTCCCTCCCCGGCACCCAGACTGGAGGCTATTCAGCTTGGCTCCCCTCCCCTCTTCGGCTCGCCACTGTAACTGGGTCGGTTCTGCTCTAGAGCCGAATAGCACACCCACTTGAGAATCACAGAGCACCCAAGCGCACCCCAGAGCACTTCGGCGCACCCCCGCGGATCCCAGAGCACCCCAGCCACCCCAAATCACCCAGCGCACCCCAGATAACCCAGCGCGCCCGGGCGCACCCCACCCCGCCCCGTGGCCGCTCCGTGCCCCGCCCCGCCCGGAGACGTCGCGGGTCGTCCCCGTTCGTCTCCCGCGGTGATCGTTTAGGGCCAGATCGCTCCGGCAGTCGCCCCATCACTCAGACGGGTACGTTTTCAGACAGCGACTGTGACGCAACTCGCCGCGCTGGTCGCGCCGATCAGGAATGGAGCGATGGTTTCTGGAGCGGCCCCGCATTCGTCCGCAGCCGTCCGCGCGTCCGTCTTTTTTTTCGCTGATTTTTGCCATGCTGAGATTACGCTCCATCGTGGAGCTCCTTTGTTTCGACTGACTTCAGTCCCGTGTTACGCCATTGGGTCATCGCTAAGTCGTGGTGACGAAAAGCGGCCGTTTTGTGTGGCTGCCCCTGTCGTTTGTCGTCCCCTGATAACTGTTCTCTGCCTGACCGTCCTGCCAGTGGAGCAATCCCATCAGTTTTGGCTGATGAAACGGCCGGCTGGCCGGGGCACTCCGCCCCGTTTTGGGGTCTTTTTTCTACCGTGCTACTCTTTAAACGCGCTACAAATCAGCAGAGGGGATCAATTGGCCCGTTTCTAATCTGAACAAGTTCACATTCCACCATAATTTTAACCGATTTTCTTTTCGCTTTGCATTATTATTCGGAGATACTAATGTCACGATGTTACAGAGGAGCCTGATGGTCGCCGATTCTGAGCTGCAGCCTCTCAGTGTAGCTCGACTCGTATGTGTCTGTGAAACTCTGGGACCCTTTCTGGTCTGTGCTGCTAATTCCCTGTTTACGTCTGTGCAGCTCTATCTTCTTCTATCATAACAACCCGAGCGTCTGCCCGCATCTTTCGGCTGACCCACCTTGTTGTCCTGCATCTGTCTGTCACAGTTGTGCATCTGTCTGTCACAGTTGTGCATCTGTCTGTCACAGTTGTGCATCTGTCTGTCACAGTTGTGCATCCGTCTGCCACAGTTGTGCATCTGTATGTCACAGTTGTGCATCTGTCTGTCACAGTTGTGCATCTGTCTGTCACAGTTGTGCATCTGCCTGTCACAGTTGTGCATCTGTCTGTCACAGTTGTGATGTGTCTGTCACAGTTGTGCATCTGTCTGTCACAGTTGTGCTGTGTCTGTCACAGTTGTGCATCTGTCTGTCACAGTTGTGCATCCGTCTGTCACAGTTGTGCATCTGTCTGTCACAGTTGTGCTGTGTCTGTCACAGTTTGTGCATCTGTCTGTCACAGTTGTGTATCTGTATGTCACAGTTGTGTATCTGTCTGTCACAGTTGTGCATCTGTCTGTCACAGTTGTGCTGTGTCTGTCACAGTTGTGCATCTGTCTGTCACAGTTGTGCTGTGTCTCCGACAGACAAGGTGCAGCTGGCGCACCCGCCGTGCGTGGGCATCATTCCGCTGGGCACGGGCAACGACCTGGCGCGCTGTCTGCGCTGGGGCGGCGGCTACGAGGGCGAGTCCATCTACAAAATACTCAAGGTCAGTCGACCGGCCCGGCCGCACTGCGAGGCGCTGCGTGATGACGGTGATCGCCGATTAGATGGCTAACACGCGGAATCGTGTAGCTGGTAAGAACTTACCACATACTACGGTACAAAGCGGGAAGAGCCAATTCTTAGCAGACTGAAGGAAATCACAAATTGATATGTCGCAGTCTGGTGTGTGGGTGTCACGAAACAATGGCGCTGAATTTGGGTCACTGATATCATTCAAATAACACTTAATGCTGAACGTCGGCGTGCCACGTGCTTTCGTTATACGTCACTGAGTGGCCTAACCTAGATGAGGCTTATTTTTATAGAGTTGATTCCTGATATGGTCCTGTTGCATGCAATTGCACACGGCATGTTGACCGCACCGATCTGGTTCCAATAAGCCGCACCGGTTGTGAGTGGTGCCCGTAGCGTTAGTCGGCCACCAGAGGAGGCCTTGGCAGGTGCCGTGGAGGTCGCTGTGTGGCTGGGTCGGAGGGCTCCCCGGTGGCGGCAGCGGCCGGTGGTCAGCTGGTGGTGAGCCCGCTAACGGTAGCGAGGGGACACGGACGTCGCACGAATGGGCACACTCGTGATGGCCCTGGGGGCGAACTGGGTGGACGGGTGATGCCGGGGAATAGGACGGCGCGGTGGACAGCACGAGCGGAGGGTGCGGACAGCGGGAGGTCGGGACAGGGGCGGCGGATGCAGCGGATTGACTCACGAACCGGGGCCGGGGCGATCTGAGCTCAGGTGCAGCACCAACAGTCCGGGCGGGAGCCCGCTCGTGCTCCTATGTTCACCTTAGTACTTACATCGGACACGTCCTCGCACTGGATGTTGTCTGGCAGAACAGTAGCCGCGGAAATTTGACCCACTAATTCACGGAAAGCGGAACATATGTACATAAACATAAACATATAAACATGTATATGCATTCAAAAACATGACCCATTACATACATAACATACACATGATTCCCGATATGAAATTTAATGGAACTCGGCCTCGCATTCTTATAACCACAATGCTCATGCTAGACTAATCTGTATTGCATCCCTAACCATTCGCTATTTTATTCTTAGTTATAGCCAAATGATTTTGGCATATCCAGGTAAGAGGTTGAGAAATGTTGAAGACGCCATTTGCCAACCTTTGGTTATCAGATTGGAATTGCGGCTCGCTTGCTCTTCTGAATTCAACTTTCTGGAGTAACCCCTTTGTTCATTTGACGGCTTCGATATTCTAGGCGGCGAAACCAATGCCATATAACTGGTCGACTGGTTCTGATAGTATCACCCGCCACTCTCCGGCAGTAATCAGATCGACAGCTGACCCAGCGACACGGAGCCGCTCACCGCCCGGCCTTGTCCATCCTCCTGGAAGTCTCTGGGGAGAGTTAACGTCTCATGACTTCCGGTCGGCTCCGGAGCGCCGGCCCCGCCCCCGTCCCCGCCCATCCGCCGAATTTCCTGTCCACCGGCTGGCACCTGGCCGGGTCCCGTGAGCAGCCGATGTCCCGATAGCACCGAGGCCGCCGCGCCGCTGTCGCTGGGCCCATAAAGCGATCCCGGCGCGTCTGTTCCGGAGTGGCGGGCGGCGCCGGACCGTCCATTGGCGTCCCGCCGCCGCCGGAGGAGGCAGCCATCTGGGTCAAGGCTGGACGCCGCACCGCTACTGGCGAG